ATGTAAATTTGTGTGTCATCCACATAACTATGGTAACTTATTTTGTTGTTTTTCATTATCTGAGCCAGTGGTAGCATGTAGATGTTAAAGAGAAGAGGCCCCAAGATGGAGCCTTGAGGTACCCCACATGTCATATTTGTCAACTCAGATTTGTATTTACCTATAGAAACAAAGTTGTTTCTGTCCTTTAAGTAGGATTCAAACCAATTTAGAACTGTTGATGAAAGTCCCACCCAGTTTTCCAGTCGGTCTAGTAATATGTTGTGGTCAACTGTGTCAAATGCACAGTTGACCACAACTCTCACTATTAGATCCAGTGAGATCTAATAATACTAACACTGAAGTTCTGTCACTGTATGTGTTTAAGTGGATGTCATTGAAGACCTTTACAAGAGCAGTCTCAGTGCTGTGGTTTGACATTATTTCCACATGATTATTATCAATTGTCACTTGAATGGGTTCTGTACAATCAGTTACTTTACACATTAGTCTGCCATCTAGGGTGCTGGCATTGACGGGATGCATGAGAGGGACAGTCTTAATATTAAGGCGTTTAGCTAAACCCCAGTCTATGAGGCTTTCATCAGCCCCAGAGTCAATTAGCGCCCCCAGAGTATGTGTCTGACTGTTAGCTGTGACTTTAACCTGGTTGAGTGTGCGAGGAGGATAGTCAGAGGAAATCTTGCTCACCAGCGCCCTCTTCATGGTTGGTGAGCATGCCCTTTTCTCGGGCATGTCGCCTGCTGGTGACCCGATTGGCCACAGTAAAAGCAGCATCCCTCCTGCAGGCGGCGCCATTCTCTCTCTCTTTCTCTGGAGGCAGTTATCAACTCAGACATGGAAATCAGAGATTCAAGGTCTTGTGGTAGTTCTAGTGGAGCCAGGTGGTCTTTAATGGTTTCAGAGAGTCCATTCCGGAAGGCGTCTATTAATGCTGGGGTGTTCCAGCTACTGTCTATGGCTATGGTACGGAACTCTATGGCATAATCTAATACTGGCCGTGGGTGCTGTTTGAGCTGCATGAGTACACGGGTGGCGTCACCGGCAGGTGAGGTAAAATCAAAAATCCGGCTCATAGTGTCTTTGAATGCTATGAAAGATCTACATATGCTAGAGTTTCTTGACCACTCCGCAGTGGCCCATGCGGCAGCTCTGCCGGTTAAATGGGAGACCATAAATGCTATTTTAGCCTCATCGGACACAAACGCAGCTGGGTTAAGTTTGTAATGCAGGTCACACTGGACTAGGAAGGTTCTGCAGTTGTCAGATTCACCTGAATACTTCTCTGGCGATGCCAACCGCAGTGGGACAGGAGAAGCTCTGACCTCGGCCTGATTAACAGCAGGATTGGCATCAGGTGGCGGAGCAGGAACCGGAGCTGTGGAAGTTGCCTCTTGATGAGTGAGAACTCCGTGGAGCTGTGCTGCCAGATGGTTTACCTGTGAGGTGACAGAGGTTTGGAATACCTCCTGGCGTTCTGTAAGGTCTTTCACTCCATGGATGGCGTTTCCCTGTGCGGACAGGGCGGTCTGGAGCGTCTTGGGGTTGCTGAGTCCATACTGGTCGGTTTGTTCTGTTAGGATTCTTGACTCAATAGTATGAGGACTCAAATGCACAACCCAGAGACAAAAAAGGTTTGAAGAAAAATAATCTTTACTTTGCAAAAACAAAATCACTCTTCCAGAGGATATAACAAACTGTCAAAAGTAAAGCGCTCACAATGGAGGATAAAAGGCAAAACACTGAGTCCTTTAAATGATGGCTTGGATCTGGCTTCATGGAACGAACAATTCGAACCGACAACTAACAAGGGGAGACAGGACAATATATACATGAGGTAAGTGGGCACAGGTGGAAACAATCAGGGGCGGGGCAGACACTGACGATGGCGGGAAAAAGAACCAAGGCAGGAAGTAAAGGGACCTGGAATGAGACAAGGTGAGTACAAAATAAAACAGGAAGTGGAACATAAACTAAACTAACATGAACATGACAATCACAAACATGACACAACTTAACATAATTGACGGGACACTACAGAAAGTTTCCCATCGATTGCTGAAAAGGCTGAATAGTTTGATATTTGAATGGTTTCTGTAGCTGAAAGTAAGCTGAAGTTATTGAGAGCAAAAGTATTGGTTGAAACTATAAAATGCATTTCCTGCAGAAAATGCGTGCGAATGCTGTAAACTGTGAACATTTGTTGCTGAATTTAGCTGAAAATGCAGAAAAAGCTGAATATGTTATAACTTATTATATTATTATAATAGCTGAATGGTAGCTGCTTTTAGCTACAAAAACCAAGTCAGTGTGTTGCTGAACTTAGCGGAGAAATGCAGAAAAGTGAAATGATTTGAATCAAATTGTTACAGCTCAAATGCATTGCAATGACTTTGTTGAAAACTTGAAAGTGAAATGTTAAACTGGAAGAGTAGGAAAAATAGTGAAGAAGCTTAATATTTAAAAGAAAAGGTTTAAAAAAGGTATAAACAACAACATGTATAGCCTCAATGTCCTGAAATAGCTGAATAATGTAATAGTTGAATAGTTTCTGCAGCTGAAAGTAGGCTGAAGGAGTTACATATCAGATGTAAGTAGTCATGAATGAATGTGTATTAAGAAGAGAAAAGAAAGTAAAAAGCGTTGGGAAAGCAGCAGAATATTTTGACTGCAAACTTTTCGACTAAAACCATACGTACGCAGATATCGGTGAAATTTCAACGCGTGAAGTGTCTCAGGACCCTGATGAGCGTCTGAAGTGTGCTTTTTGTATACTTTCGGGTCAATAATGTGGCCTTTTTGGCAGATTAACTAAAGGTGTGCGGCTGCTGTGAAGAAAGAGCAGGCTGTATTTACAATAGGCCTTAATGGAGACATGTTGAACGTTTTTGTCACTTCATGCCCTCAAGAGGCATTTTGTTATTATTTTTGCTTAATTATTTTTAATTTTCCAACCTAGGAGAGGTTTCCCTACGTTTTTCATGACAAATTATGTCCAAGGAGTGTAGGGTTTGGGAATTATGGCAGGTTTAAAAAAGAATTTGGGCGAATTTCAAGCTGTCCTCCACTCTGTTTTGAGATCAAAGCACTCTAGCCTTAACGAGCTGCTCAATAAAGAAGGCCTCTTTACCAAGCTCCAAACTAAGTTAAATATCTCAAAAAGTGTAAAAGATATAAAAAATCTGAATAACAAGTTTTATAGCTGAATGTCTTATGATCATTTTAAAGTTGGAATGAAGTCTCTAGCTGAAAGTATGTGGAAGGAGTAGCATTTGGAGCAAGGTGTAGGTAAAAGAGGCTGGAGCAGGCGGGGGTTAGACTCTGACGTCACTGTCGAGACGTTAGTGGCCGACTCCGCCAAGGGCTTCTCGGCAACTCTGCAGAATCCTATGGGTGACGTCACGGACACTACGTCCATTTATATATACAGTCTATGTTCGGACGTCATATGTCACGTGATTTTAAGCAAGCTTCGAAGCACTGCTTCTATGGAATAGGAAAACCAGGGTTTGAAGCACGTATCGAAGCTTCAGTGTCATAGTCAAACTGTCATCACTACATTTCACCTCTTTCTTTCAGAATGAGGCGAAAAGTATTAAATGAGGACAAAATCACTACAAGTCTGGGCATGTTGAGAGCTGTATATACACAAAAGGGGAGTTAGTCGGTTCCATAAGAGCCGAGGTGAGTGTAACGAGTGTAATCGTAACGTTAATGTCAGCTAGCTAACATTAGTTAACAAGGTATACTCCCGTGTTTTGTTTTAACAACTAGTTTTCTCGTTAAGAACTGCGTGATCGTGTGTATGCTGTGGATAACATTAGTGTTGGCAAGGACAAGGTACGCAGAAAACTAGTTGCTAAAACAAAACAGTGTACCTTGTTAGCTAATGTTAGCTAGCTGACATTAACGTTACACATTACACTCATTTAACACTCACAGACACCTTGTACACCCGGTCCCGCATGCTGGCTCTTACGGAACCGACTAACTCCCCTTTTGTGTAATAGCAGCTCTCAACATGCCCAGACTGTAATGATTTCCACCTCATTTAATACTTTTCACCTCATTCTGGTGTTGGTGACGTGTAGGCTACTGTGCGAGACCAGAGATGTAGTTCATTGAGCGGATAAAGTATTCTGATTATGAATTTGGGATACAGTATTTTCATGGTGGATTGAATAATTATAATATATTTATTTCTCCAGAGGGATACTTTTTGTATTCCTTTCTCATTCCCTCTCAAAATAATTGGTTAATGAGTGTACCATGTGAGGAAAAACAGTCTTGCCCGAGGGCCCTTCAGAAGCATATATTAGCTGATAAAGGGCGTCAGTTCATCATTCATCCATTAAAACATTTCCATATGCAGCCTGAAACCTCATTTATAGTGAGTGACACTCCCATTCTTCACTGATGCAAATTTGGGGCAAATACAATGAAAGGAATAACTCAAACACTTCAACATCTTTTAATATATTTATTAATATTCAAGATGCATTTGTTTAAAAAAGAAATGAAATGCTACATGGGCCATATCAAAAGACAAACATGTTATTGGGGATTTTCAAGGCAGTATTAGGAACTATAGAAAAACCTTTGCAAGAACAAGTTGTTTTTCTCTGTATTGTAGAGTATGAAACCATCAAGTTCCCCCTACTTTAACACATTTTAACAAGTGCAAATTTGACCTGTGGATAGACAAGGTACGAATGTGCTTAAGGCCTCAGATTGCTGTACAAAAAGAGCACCGGAAAGACAAGTATGTAAATGCAATGGTGGTGCAACGATGACTGTACATAAAACAATTCTGGCAAGTTCGGAATAACCTGCAATAATGATTCTAAAGAAGGCTTTAATTCAAAAAGTGTAAACTACCATGATGTTGTTAAAAAGGCTGACGTGAATGAGGAAAATGACAGACTAGATCTGCGACATTTAAGAAATACTTAGCAGTTGATTTATTTTGATCAAGATGTGTGTTAGAAATAGCCCTTTTCAGCGATTATTTTTGCTTTCTTCTGCTGACGGTGATCCAGGTTTCTTCTTTAGGCGTGGATACCAGCTCAGATCGCACCTCCATCACCTGCCCCTTCAGAGGGTGAAGCTTCAGCTGCCGCACCAACGTACTGAGCAGGACAGTAGCCACAGTGTAGGCAAACCTGTCAAAGAGACCAAATGTGATGGATTGTGGAAATGTTATTGAAGACACTTTTTCACTTCTACTCACTGTCATTGCTCTCAGTATTAGCTCCGTCTATGTCTAGACTTTACCTGAGTTCTGGACATGTTTGATTCCCTGAGAATCCGAGAAGACAGAAGCTCTTCCTCACCGATTCCTCCTCAAATCGATCTGGGTCAAACCTGAAGGGATGTCACAGTAATCACAGATCAGAAATGGCACAAATCAACATTTTAAACCTGAAAGATAAACCCCACTATGTGATGCTGTCATACCGAAGAGAAATTATTTTGGGAGAAATACTTGCCAAAAACCTTGACAAAACACCACAACACATGATTTGAACAAGCAGCCTTGTAGTTATTTCTGGAGTAAAATGATAATGTTGAACCTGTATGGGGTGCTCCAGGTGTCAGAATCCTGAAGGACAACTCCCAAAGCGTAGATGACCAAAGTCTGAAAGCACAGCATTTTGATTTTGATTTACAAAGTTATTATTGTTCAATTTCTTTATCTCCACAGTAAACTGTCTGGTTTCCCGGCTGTATTATTTTAGCAGGAAGCAGATACCTCTTTGGGGATGACATGCTGATCCACCTTGCCCTCCACTTCCTGCAGCCTCGCAGCGACGGGGGTCAGCTTGGCGGTCCTCACCGTCTCGTTCAGGACCTGCTGGCAGTATCTGTCAGACACAGGAATGTGATCAGATCAAGGTCATACAACACAGCAGCATCACCTGGATGTGCATACATGTAGCTAGTATGACCTTGAATTAAATCTGTGCAATACCAAATACGCTTTACCAAAATTGGACCATTGCCATTCTCCAAAAATCTTACCTCAGCTCAGGGATCTTGTCTAATGAAATGGGGTCTGAACCCAAAACCTGCTCCAGCTCCTGGTACAGTTTGTCCTGAACGTCCTCCGAGGTGGACAGGAAGTGAAGTGCCCAGATACACACTGCAGAAACACAACATTTTAACTTCCTTTTGGTTTAGCTTTTTTCTTCCTAAGTTGCTGTTTCTGGACATACAGTGGCTTAATAATATAACTGACTTTATAAAATAAATATACAATTCGGGATTTACTTGTGGTCCTCCTGACATGTGAACAGGCCCGGTTCCAGTAGTAGGTTTACATGAGCAATAGTGGCCGGCAACAGCAATGCATTATGTTATGCATTATGTAGCATTGATGTTATGGTCCTCAATGAGCAGATTATGGCATTTGTTATGTTTTGAAACCAAGCAAGTGAGAACATTTCAAGTGTGTTAAAAGTGCAATCCTGAAATATTTCATCCAGTCCAAAGTGGACTATGCATGGGAAAGAAAAGCACAAAAGCTTCAAAACTGTACTGATAAAACAAATGAGAACATATTGTAAATCAAGGCAAATATTATTTGAACCAGCTCATGGTTTGAAATGGCAAACATTGAAAGGCAAAAGTATTATTAAAACCATGTACATCATCCCCTTGGTCCCATCATATACTCTGGGAAGAGAATATTTACTGTGCTTGAAAACTGGTATCACATCATCATGCGAGGTTGACTTTGTGACCTGGAGAACATTTCCGCTGCAACATTAGCTCGTTGATAAGTTTGGGATATGAGATATTTTTGTAGCCATTCGTGGTGAAGGCCTCTGTGCTATTGTATGCATTTTTGACCCAACATTTCTACAGGCATGGCAGAATATGGCACTATTTTTTACATGAATATTCTAGCCAGTCTATTTTTATACCACAAGCTGCAACATGACCGCCTTCCCCCACTGTACAGGCGGGTACTTGTTTAGATATACCTGGGCAGGCTCTGTTTTGCCGAGGTCCCCTGGCACCTGCGGGCCTCAAAGGGGCGGCGTTGTTTCGGGTGACGAAGACTGCTGCTCCGGGGGCGAGGGCGGCGAGTCGGGCGGGAGTAAGCTAGTGTCCACGACGGTGGGTAACGTAACGTCCCTATCTGACCTGTTGCTACTGTCTGCAGTAGATGCAGTGGTGCTGGCGTATAGTGATGGTTGCTTTAACCATTTTCGTATAACCATGATTATCCACAGATGTGTGTCACTGCTCTGGAAGCACTTTGGAAAGGATGCACGCAGGTCACGCGCACCTGACACAATTTGTTTTATATTGTAAAATATTTTTCGCTCCCTTCTCTTTTTTGAATAGAGGGTGCATAACATTCAACTGAGGGTGCAATGTCATTTTCTATTCCATATTTATGTTGTTGGTCTTCTACTTTCACCGTCATTTTTAATATCCTCTTAATAATTCATGTTATGAACCAGAAACCTTAGAGAAGTCCTTGTGATAAAGTAAAATCTACTTGGAAATAAACTATATTTCGATTTTTGAACTACCAACTGTATTTAACTATAAACTGAGAATAATGTGATATTTTGCGGGTTCTTTGAATAACTGACATGTTAATTGCAGCCTTTAATAAAGTATGAATCAATAAGTCAATTGACTGTGATTTGTGTCACTTACAGTTGGCAGTGATGACAGATCCAGCCAAAGTGAAAACCATGCAGTCCTCCATGATCTGGGAAAAAAACAGTAATTTCAGTCGATTTTTGAGAACTGTCACAATCTTTAAGTTACCTTTTTGGAATATAAAGCAGAGTGTGAGGCTTCATCAGTATTCACCTGTCGCTCTGTGAGGCTGGACTGAAGCAGAGCGTCCACAAATGCCGTCTGCTTCCTCTGAGCCTTCCTGTCCTTCGCCACCGACAGCAGAACGGCCTGCATCTCTGACAGAGCTGAACACACAGAAAACGAAAAATCCGTTATCTTTTCACAACTTTGAACATGATTACAAGTTAAAAAGACTGAATTTCAAGCATCTGTCTTGCGTTCCTGCCTTTTAGACAGCATCTATAATTAACTCCAGCAAGAGCCAAGTTCCAGTCAAATTGTCCTTGGCACATAAATCAATAAAGGTCCCCAAAAACGACAGAAGCTGTTCCCTGAAAATGCGGATCTACACACACAGATCAAGTCTGATCCTCTGCAAACTGTCCCTGCTGTTTCTCCACAGCACATCAACAGAAGAAAACACCATGCTGCTCGTGAACACACACACCCAATCCCAACGACTCAAAGAAGAACAGAAGGTAGCTTCCATAAATCCTCCACAAGTACTGGATGTTTCATCTATTTTTAATTAGGATTTTGGCTCCTAGCGAATATGAAAAACGCTGCTCTCATTTTGTCTTACTGTAGATCACAACATATCTTTTATTTTGGACATATTTCTATTTTGAAAATGTACATAGTAGAAGTGCACTTACACATTTTAACTTATTTATTTTTGATATGATTTATTTAAATGTTTATGTACATATATAGTTAGGTATTGAATGATCGTGATCTGATTATTGACTAAAATATTTGCCATAATTGAGCAGCCCTTTTTCAACAATTCAACATATATTAAGTTTGGTTTTAATAAAGCCACTCACCCTTCTCATAATGTGCTTTCCTGCTGGAGCTTTTCTCAAGGGAGCCGTCCAAGTACCCTTTGCCAATTTCTGACCAGATCTGGTGAGTAGGAAGAAGAGAAAAACATTTATTTAGTCACTCCAACAGGACTGTAGCATCCCAAATTATAGGTTTGACTAAAAGGAGACAGTTCAACAAAAATATAGGGGGGCATTTATGCAAAAGCACACATTTGCAATCCACAGGAGCGGAGGAAAGACCAAAATCAGCTGCACAAAAACATTTGTGTGCTGCACTCCACTGTCTTCTCACCGCGTCGTGGTTCTTGCGGAAGGAGAGGACCTCGGAGTCGTCCCTGAACGTCTCGCCCAGAGCCAGCTGGGTGACGGTCTTCATGGCCAGCCCCAGCAGGTGGGCACACAGAGGGGTGTGCTGAGCCTCCGGGGCGGACGTCCACTTCCCCACCAGCTCCTCCACCAGCTATGAGAAGAAAGTGGGGAATATGTCTAAACGCTTGTTTTCAACTCAACTTAGTTATATTGTATTGTACATCACGAGAGATACAGACCTTTAGCACCAGGGGGAACTTTTTCTCCACCGTGTTGTTGATGGCACTCTCGTAAACCTTCTTTCTTATCACGCTCTCTGTGGCCCCCCCTCCCGTTCCTGACTGGTAGCCCAGCAGAGACTTCAGCATTGTCTCAAAGGAGTCAGCTGACAGAGACACAAAGACAACATGTTATTTTTTCCTCGTGAGTGAAAACCAGTCTTGTGAAAGTAAAATGTAAGAGATTTAAGGAACCTAAAACTCTTTTTAAGATCATATTTAAATTGTTACAATAAATATATGTGCAAAAAATAAAGATTAAAGCACTCCTTTATACCCACAACAATCAATGTACATATTCACTTTGTTTATTTTTACCAGCTTAACTCTGATTGCAGATCAGTATTATTTAATGCTCAGCTAGTGCCTGGTGTAAGAAACAAGGAGACAGCAGCAAATATGACAAGTCTTTCATTTCAAATATTAAAAGGCTTCATGGGAATTTAAGCATTTTCCTAACTTTTAAGACTTTGTCCAACTTACTGCTGTGGTTGGGGTTGATGTGTTGCTGGAGCTGGAGCACGGACCCCAGGCTGACCACGGGCCGACCCCCGAACCAGAAGGAGGCGACCGAGCCAAACCGCAGATGCAGACTGACCAGGAACTCATGCAGACTGCCTCTGTTCACGATGTCCTGCAGGTTCCCATCCCTGAGAGATAGGAGACAGCACTGAATATCAATGTTTTGTTTGGATGGAATTGACTCATTGATCTTTGCAATATCCTGTTATTGAATGAAAGAGAATACAATGACAACTTACTTCTCATCGGTAGGATTGAGACCTGGGATACCAGAGGCCCTTCTGGATGACTGAAAACATGATTAGAAATTGTATTTATTTATACATTTTTCACACACATCTACTGTTTCTTCATACGAGTTCATGGATTAGTTATTAATATCCTAGTTACAGCAAGATCAAGTACTGTTCAATTAACCTGTATTGAATCTCAGCCAATTTAATCCTTTCTAATTTACTTAGACAATGTATGAAACTATTATTTCATCTGACTATTTAATAAGGTCTTTGGGGGAAATCGGCATAGAAATTGGGTAGCCTACTTGACAGCATCCATTTTTCAAAGATGGTACTTAAGCGTGGTTGTTACCACCCACTGTAATTAATTAAATATGAATTTCACTGAATTAGGTTATTGATAAGTGTGTTGGGTGTTAGCCGAAATGGGGAGACAGGTATAACAATTCTTTGAAGGTCTTCATTTATGTTATAGGAGGTGGTCCCGCTTGGCAGTGAGCAAATAAACATGAAATCATTACTTTTTAATGAGGGTTTTGGTCACAACTGGGACAGCTAACTAATGCTAACTTCAAACTTGCAGACTTACCGGGTACAAATAGAGAACAGCGCCAACCAAAATGATGACAAACGTGACAGCAAATATGGCAAAGTCCAGCATGACTTCTCGCTTTTAATAGCACTGTTTTGCTAACTTCTCTTCATGAATATCTGGAGAATTTCCCACATAAACTGATAAGTTACCACGTCAACAGAAACTGGACGGCAGGTCGCATCTCTGTGTTTGATTGTTAGGGTCTGAATGGCAGGCAGAGCAAACTAATCGTACTCAGAAAGATCGATCGATACTATTTTGCCAAGTGAATTACTGCCCTTTTTTTACAAAGATTGTTTGCATTATCTTAAGAATAAGTAATATTTGTATTCTTCACTCATGGGTTTTACAGTTTTTCTACAAATATTTCAAACTATACATAAAAACTATTAATGTGTTAGCAACAAAAACAGTGTATATGTTCAAATACAAAAATAAATTGATAAAAGTAATTACCTTATTAGTTTTTTTACTTCTAAAGTCCCCCGCCTGGCATGTTAAAACGTATTTCTTATTTTAAGATATGCATTTATATGTGGGAAGATTGTTAATATAATTATAAATCTCAGTTATGGGAGCCCTCAAAATATTTGAGCCCATAGATTTGACCTGATCATAACATAGAATATACAAATATACTAATAATTAAGTATTAAAAGGTCATATTCTGTACAGAATCACGGCATGCATCAACAGGTTGGATGCATAATGAGCACCAAAATGGAATAGAGAGTTGTTGTTGGATTTTTTTGAGAAATATTTATAAAGAAACAAGCACAATCACATTTAAAAAATACAAAAAATAATCGACAACACATTTAAAACCAGTGGCAAAATACAGTGCAAAATGGCAACAATACGCCTCAGAAGAAGTGTACAGAATTATATTTTCTCAGGCGGTCATTTCTGATTTGTCCTCTTGTTTGGGAGGCTCGATCCTCATGGCGTCCAGATAATCTGAGGAAGGACAAAAATATATATAACGTGTTTTCTCTTTCTGTTTGAACATGTTTTCACCCTTCTCTCTGGTGTTCTCTCACCGTGAGTGTAGTCTGTTTCTGGTCGTGTGGCGATGAAGACCCAGGCCAGCCCCACCAGCAGAGCCACCACCAGGTTCACCGTCACCCAGGGGTGCAGAATCTGGTGCTCCAACCCTGGTGGCCTAGGGAAGGAAAAAGGAAAGTAGCTTGTATCATACCTAGGCTTCAAGAAAATATATCAACATTAAATATTTCCAAGGCGCTGACCATAGAGTAGTGTTGAAGTCTGGGTACAGGTTGATGCGGTCGCTGGTCATCTGCTGGCTCAGAGAGAGGATCAGCGCCGAGAAATACACTGCAGGAAACAAGGAACAAAGAGTGTGAGATGATGCCATATGACAGTTTGAGATAGTAAATAATGTGGACTCACAGAAAGAGGCGAGAGCGACGGGGTTCAGTGTGATGAACTCCTGCAGAGCCACAGAGCCTTTGGCCAGGTTCACTCTGAGAACAAGAGTTATAACAAAATAAAGGAATTCTGATTCATGTTAACACATAAATAGATCTTTAACTAGGAAATCTATGCTGTAAGTAAAACATTTTTTTCTCTGATCGATGCATCGGCTCCTCACGCCGTGTTGTTGAGATTTCTTGTACCTGTCGAAGGCGGCCACGGTGCTGACGGCCAGCAGCAGGTACAGCAGGGACTGGGCGGGGTAGGCCAGGCTGTGGTACTGCTGCAGCAGGTTGGACAGAGCGGTGAGCTGCTGCCCCGCCAACATGTACACCACCACCATGTTCCACAGGGCGTAGCCCGCCAGGAAGCCATGGCAGTACAGACCGAACACCCTGCAGCACAGAGCAGAGACACAAAGGGTCACTTTGGTTCATTAGTATAGGCAGAAGACACACATAAAGACATAAGTGTCATGAGATGAAAATACAACCTAATACATAAAAAATAAAAAAAATATATTCAATTACATTTTTTTAATAACATTAATAATAGGGTTATTAACATAAACTTAAACTGGAAGTGAAACATTAATAAGTGCTCTTAACCAAACCTAAATATTAAACATATCCATACAATTAAACCAAAAATATATTGCATGGAAAAAAAACTAATAAAAACTAAATAAAAAAAATCCGTACATTTCAGGATATTGAATCAGATATATATAAAAAAACAATATCGTGGATCTATTTAAAACGTATTGAAAATTCTAACTATTTTAACCTTTCCACACACTTGAACATATTTTGTTTTGTACAAGTCAGTCACCTGAAGCAAAATCAAACACATATCTGAGATTAAGTGGAAAACACATATTTCCAATTAGTCAGAATGACTTGGAAAATATTGGACTGTATATTGAAAAAAAGATATGAGTTGTGCATCCCTTTTAAAAACCTATTGTACATTCCAAACTATTATGACGCTATGCACACACTTTTGCTTTGTCAGTTATAGCTCACCTGAAGCCGCTGTGCACTCTCAGGGAAACGTCTCTGGTGGAGCAGAGCGGCTGAACGTTGAAGTCCGTCATGTTCTCCGTCTTGATGTTCGTCTTCCTCCAATCGGAGCGCTCTGCAGCCTGGAACCGCTCTGAAACAGGAATGCACACGACACATGAGAATCTCCTTTAATGTCCCACAGGCGGCCACATCGTCTCCTTTGGTTACTCACTGTTCTTCTCCACAAACACCTTCCCCACCGGCTGGCTCTGACCCTGCGGGGCCGCGAACAGGGGGTACTGGAAGATGGGAGGGGGGGTGTCAGAGATGATGTCGTCCTCTTCTACGTCGAACTCATCCGGGAACGGAGACTCGACCACTTTTGACTTCCTAAAATCACAATGTAGAACAGTTGGAGAGCAAAATGTACCAGATCGTATTTTCCAAATGTTCTCACCAACTATCTCTTAACTTACTTTTAGTATGCAGATGACACTTTTTTTTTTAAAGCATTTGTTCACAATTGCTTTGGTTTTGTTTTATTGTTTAAAAAAAACTACACTTGGACATAAAGAAACCTAAATATATTCAGATAAATGCGAAAATATTACAATAAATAAAAATACCTCATCTCAAACCAGGTGTTAATGCATAAAACTTAACGCAGCTTTTTTCTATATTAGTTGTTATATCTGACATTATGAAATGTGCTGATACAACAACACAATTAATACTTTCTTACTTTTTCTTCTTGGATTGTTTCCCCACTTCCTCTCCATCCGTGGTCTGATCTGCTGCGTCTCTGTTCACAAGGTCCGCCTGATCATCATCCAGATCTGAAAGCATGAATTTACACTTTAATTGTGCTCTTTGGAGGGAAAGTGCTTTCTTAGATTAAGGGAAAGCTGCTCAAATGTCGAATTCATCATTTACATAAAGATAATAGTTTTCTGTGTGTACCTATAGTAGGAGCTTTCTTTCTCTTCCTCCTCCTCTGGGGGGCTGAGTCCGTCGTCTCTTCAAAGGGTAGATGTTCTCCGTTCTCAGATTCCCTCCGTCCCATCGCCATCCCATGATCTAAACAGGAAACAGTAGAAGCGTTAAAGGAACGGGAAATACTGACCTGCAATTCTCATGCTTTCTACGTGTTATAATGTATTTTTTTTGTTCCAAATCAAGGAGTCTTAAAGGTCCCATGACATGCTTTTCCGGTTATAACCCGTCCCCTTGTGTGTTATGTAGCTTTTTCTGCATGTAAAGGGTCTGCAGAGTCACAAACCCTCAAAGTACACTCTGTAGCGAGTAAAACTCTAACACAGAAAAGACCTGTCTATGCTGCCCCAGAACGCCTCGTTGGACATTTTCTTTTTCCATTTGTTTCTGCCGGGAACCAAGTGACGTAACGACGACCCCTCCGTGGATTGGTCAAAATGGACCAATCCGTGGAGCCGTTACGTTACGTCCGCGGAGCCGTTACGTTAAGTCCGTGGATTGGTCCAAATTGACCAATCCACGGACTTCCTCACACACACACACACACACACTCAATCTTTTCTCAGCTGCAGCTCCGCCGATTTCTCCTCCCTGAGACGGCGGGAAGCGGCGAGGCTGTGAGTCGGTGTGTGAGCACACACACAAACTCCCAGCCAGGCTGCGGGTGTGTGTGTGTGTTCGGGCTGGTTTCGGGCTGGGTTTCGCTGTCTCGCAGACGGCCACTGGGCTCATAGGGAAGGGGGGGGGCAGGAGCTCCAACAAGCCGTTTAGGACAGAGAGTGAATACACATGCTATACAGAGATGCTGTATGAGAAACCAATGTGAGTTTGGAAAATTGCACAATATACATTTATTTTAGTATACCTCAACAATGGAATTATGATCAGTAGAAATGGCCATTTTCCAATAAAAGTCACGTACATAGGAACATCTTCTTGGAACACACACTGTTTCTTACTGAGAAGTTGTGGAAAGCATCATATTTCTGATCCTGTGTCTACAAACTGATCTTATTGCAAGATACACTACATTCTTTTGGTTAAAGAAATTATTTAAAATAGCAAAGAAGTCTTGTTTTATCCATGCCTGAAATGTATCAGACCAAACATGTGTTTATTTAATTAAAGGGGCAGCATGGAACTATTTTAATTCTCTTTCTGCAAATAAAACAAAATGTAAGTAAGTAAAACAAATGTTTAGGTTTGTGACAATCTAATGCAGATGTGTGTTTATGTGTAACGTACCGTCAATATCATCGACTCCATTCGTCTCCTTTTTCACTTTCTTCTTCCTACGCTTCTGTGCCGGTGCTTCTACTGTGCACGGGAATAAATACATAAAGAAAAGTTTAATTAAATCAAGAGCTTGAGTAAAAACAGGAGGCGTTTTCATGACATGTATCCAATTACTGCTATATTTCAAATCCCGACTCACCAGCTGTGTCTTGACTTCATGTTTCCAAATGTTCAACAGAAGAGAGAAGGAGTTTAGATCGACTGTTCAGTGTAAATATTGCAGATTAAAATGTTGTATCAGATTAGAAAAGCACATTGACTTACCTCGGCATTGTGGGAAGCGTGCGTGGTCCTCGCTTAAAGACAAAAATAGAAGAACAAGTCACTTATGTTTCAGATGTAATGTAAGATTTATCAACTTAAACTTAACAACCCATAGGTCAAATGTAACGCTTGTTTCATGGTGATAATGTCTTGAATTATGTATAATACAAAATAATACAAATTAAACAAAAAATAACAGATGCAAAGAAAGAGTTTCTTTTAAAATGTAGACAAACACTGTACAAGCTTTTCAGAAATTCTCAGTTATAACATAGTCTGTTGAGATACAACCAGATAAAAATGCCTTACCGTTGTTTTTCTGGCCATTCCAGATAGGAATCAACCCAGAGTGGAGATAACAAATAACATCCTGGCTGACAGCTAAACCCTCGCTAAATCTGTGTTCATACGCCCGCCAGGACGGGGGATTAGTCAGGGCAGAGGTCACAAGATGCTTTATTCTTCCTGAAGATGCTTGTTATGAAGTGTATACTCTGCCTTATCGTCGCTAAACACACTCAGACAAGTTAGAAGAACCTTTTTTATCACACTCCAAGTGACAATGATCATATAAAAAGTGACATTTCTTTATATGAGTTTTAAATCAGATTGTGCCGCCCTGCCTTGCAAACGTCATTGAGGTAAATCAAATCATTTTTTAATGTTTAAAGACCTTGTTTTATTTTCTTAAAATCTACCATTTTTAACACATTTTCCAGCTACGTCATTTCGAGTTCATCACCAGTTATCCTTATGAACATGGGCGTAATTTCCACTGGGGACAGGGGGACATGTCCCCCCCACTTTTCAAAATCCCATTTGTGTCCCCCCCACTTTTTTTTTTTTTTTTTTTTTTTAAATTTAATTTTTTTTTTTTTACGCAAGCGGTCATCGTCACGGAGGAGCGTCTGTGTGTGTGTGTGGCACGAGCGCATCTTGTGAGAGAGAGATAGAAAGAGAGAGAGACAGAGAGAGTTATGGGGGTTGTTGTTAGCATTTGGTGCTAGCTCGGAGCTAATGGAGATTAGTAGCTGTTTCAACAATAAGGAGAGGGAGAGCTCTTTCCTGTTGGACTTTGAGAGAGAGAGAGAGAGAGACAGAGAGAGAGAGACAGAGACAGAGAGAGAGACAGAGAGACAGAGAGACAGAGACAGAGACAGAGAGAGAGAGAGAGAGAGAGAGACGTGGGTTGTTGTTAGCATCTGGTGCTAGCTCGGAGCTAACGGAGATTAGAAGCTGTTTCAACAATAAGGAGAGGGAGAGTCCTCTCCTGTCGGACTGAGAGAGATAACGTCAGCTCAGGGAGGTAAAGGACTCTCTGAGTGATTAAGTTGTAAACTTTAGTCTAGTTATCTCAGTGGGTCTCAAACGGTTTGGTCATCTATGTAAACAAATATTTCCATCTATGTAATACATAGTTGTATATAAAATAAGTTAAGAAATCCTTCCAATGTGTACTATAGGTCAGTACAAAAATAAAAAACACAGTTTGAAAGGGGAGTGATTAGTCAAATATGCATAAATAAAAAGAAAAAATGCAGACTAGGTAAGATAAAGATATAGAGAGGAGTTTATCAATGATTTGTTATTGGTTGTGAGAATATTCTAATGGCTTTTTGATTATTGAAATATATACAGTTCTGTTTCATATGAGTGTTGAGAACTGTATCCATAAATCTCTTAATGTTGCCCTCAAAGTGCACCAGATTGATGCATTGAACTTCAATTTAAAGAAACAAATCTTCCCGGGGTGCATGCCCCCGGACCCCCCTAGAGGATGTCAGGTAATCACAAATAAAACAGGTTCACATGGATAGGATACTAGATAAGTGTGCACACTCATTATATACACTACACATCTTTCTTGTATTTGTTAACACTATAGTCCCTAATATATTTGTAGAAAGGCAGGAAATGGAATTAAATTGAGAAAATATTTCATTGCGGAGGACCCCCTGTTTTGTGTCCCCCCCACTTCTCAAACCAAAGTTACACCCTTGCTTATGAATATTAGTTTTAAATTAACGTTAATTGTATCGTCTGCATATTTCTAAATAATAGATGATCTGGTTAATTCCCTCTTTATTAAGTAAGTCTATCAAATTCCTGATAAACAGTAAAACTGATGTTCAGCTCCTGGATTTTCTGTTTTTAGTTAAGCAGGGGATAAAATGTACTTCCGGTAACTTGCAATGTGTGGGTGGATGTAATATAGGGACACATTTACACACTAATGTAATATTAAATGAGCATAATGCAGGCAGGGAAATGAACACCTGGAGTTACACACCTGTGGAAGAGGAGGGAGCTCTCTGGACCGCGTTCTCTACAATAGAAAATATATATATAAATTATTAGCACTTTCTCCAAGTATGCTAACTAGCTTTCCTTCATTCTCCCAACATTTTAATCAAACTCACAAGTAAAAAGTCAGGGTCTGTAGTTAACAGTTAGCTAGCGTCAGTTAACACAAATAGTATAGTTTTAACAAAGGAAAAATGCATAAAAGGTGAACAGTCAACACATTTAGAAATTAAAATAGCATTTACTGTTAGCAAAACAGCTAACGTTACTTTAAAATCTTCCTCTTCAGTGAAAGGAGTTACCGTTATTTAGGACAATAAGTTACCTTTGAGCCTCCTGTGTCCATATTTCTCAATTCTCTTAAAAATAAGCCTTTACAAAAACATCCAGTTAAATCATCTTTAGTGTAATTAAGGACTACAGCCGTTAAAAACGATGAAAACCCGCTACTTGTTATGATTATTTACTTTGTTTATGCTCTGCAGGAGAAGAGAGCCGTTACCCGGATGCATTTGCGAGTAGGACGCAAGACTTCCGGTTCCTTCAAAAATAAAGGCTCCCAAAGTAACAAATCAGATAACCAACATGAATTAAAGCATTACTATCAGAAGTGGTTTATTAATGTCACAAATAGGTAGAAATATTACAACATCATTGCTTTTATGTATATCATCACATCAGTTTAATTAAATAAGGACACAACAGTGTATTTTTTGTGCCAGGTTTAATAAATGTTTTCTTTGGCATGCAATGACACATTTTTAGCAAAACCCAAAGAAACGACAAATGAAAAATGAAAAACAACACAATTAACAAGAAACCACTTCTAGTATGTAAACATCAAATCAGATTATTTTCGCAGGTATGTGTAAAAGAGTGTGGAGAAGGGCACGTAAACTGCCTGTAACAAGATGATGATTACAAACTGAGATAGAGATATGGCATTGATCCTTTTCTCACTTAATCTGTAATCTCTGTTGCCTTTAGATTCAAATTACGATTTTTGTCATGGTTCGGTGGTCCCATTTCTCTGGTCCCCCTCGCCTCCGTCTCCACCTCCACCCTTACGTGCTGGTGGGTCGTATCCAGCTGGCGGGGACCCACTGCGGCTCGTCCTGCGCCTTCCTCACCGCCGTCAGCATCTGGACGCACGAGTCCTGCAGCTCGTCGTTAACGATCACGTGGTCAAAGAACTGGCAGAACTGAGACTCGATTTTACGGGCGGATTCTTCAATCTCCTGGAAGTCTTCATCCTGTTGGAGGACACAACAGTCAGAACTGATTCTTAAATGTATCTAAAACAAGGTGTGGTATAATAATCATAATAATAAAGCAAAATAACTGAAAATAAGTTGTCAAACCTAAAAGCAGGGCCACTAGTACTCATCTGCTTTTATAAGAATAACGTTGTTTTTTTTGTATTGCCATGTAACTGAGATTCGGCTTCTCATAGTCGACCAAATATATATATTTTTTTGTATTGTTCTATATTGATTTGTATTCTGAAGCAAACATACTTGTTATCTGTTAGAGAATTGAGTTAGAGTGTCTCAACTTACATTGATTTTACTGTCTTAATGTTTTTGAAAACCTCAAAACAAACGTATTGTACAGCCTGCCTTTACTACATTGGTGTATGCTAGCTAAAAACACAAACATAAAAGCGCCATGGGAGGGGAGTCAAATACGGGAAAAAAATCGTGGAAGTCGTACATTTGACAAGAAACGAGACACATTTCTTTACTTTGCAATACACCCCTTTTTATCTGAGAGAATAAACAAGTATCTTTCTTGTAAATCTACAAAATGTATCTGGGAAATGTAGAATTATAATTACAGGCTCTGTGATTATTTAGGAAAATTGTAAGAAAATGTTGTCACAGGGTATTCCCAGCCTGAGGTAAGAACATCCAGCTCACAAAATGAAAATAATATGAGGGGGGTTTACTTTGAACGGCCGGTTGACGTAGTAGTTGGTGGTGACGTGCGCCCCCCGCCTGGTCTCCTTGAGGCGCTCGTGGGGGGGAGGCTTCACGTAGATGATGTAGGCCTTCAGCTCGTGGGTCCTCACTGCCGGGATGGCCTGACAGGAGAAATGAAACCTTTAAAAAAGCAGTTCTCTAAACGAAAAGGAGAAGGATGTAGGAGTACATCTTACATTTGGCTCTATGTCCATGACGCAGATCTGCCCGCTGTTTAAGACCTCCCTCACAGACTCCACGCTGGTGCCGTACAGACTTCCTTTGTACTCGCCGTACTCCAGAAACCTGAATGACATAATCAGATTGTTTATAAAACACGCGTACATTTCTAGCACTTTTTGCAGAATCACGAACTTGCATTTCAGAATCTCAGTGGATGTTAAAGGCTCACATTTATTAGAGACTAGTAGACAGCATGAATATATTGTGTTTAAGTTATTGTGGCGCTACGTTCATTTGTTATTAATGGCTTCACAGCAGAGTACCTGTTGTTTTGAATCATGTTGTCGAAGATTTCTCGGCTGATGAAATGATATTCTCTGCCGGACTCCTCGTATTCTCTGGGTGCTCTTGAAGTGTCTGGAAAAATAAAATAAAATATGAAAGGAGACAAGAAAATTACAAATATATTATCATACAAGAAGCTCCCAGAGAGAATAAAAAATGTTTCAGAGCTGTATTTTTGATATTTATTTTTGTGTACATTTGTATTTGATGTGTTAAAGCACGTACGAGGTACCGCTCCCTGGAAGATTTTCGGGTTAATTTCAATCAAGCGCCTCCGAAGTTCATTCACCCCCACACCAGACGGACCTGAGAGAAAAAGAAAGACCTTATCATAATCATACATTTAATCGAGTTTGCTATTTCATACAATTTTAACAGATGACCAAATTAAATGCACCATTGGGAATCAATTCAACTTAAAGGTCCCCTATTATACTGTTTTTCATCAATATATTATAGGTCTCAGATATATACAAAACCTGTCTCTGATTGGCTGAAACACCAAACAGATCATTGCAGCATCCCATAATCCCCTCTGTTTCAGCCCTGTTTCTAAAGTGCTGATTCTCTGTCTGTTACTTTAGATGAAAATAAGGAGCCACTCCCCACGCCCCTCTGAGAGATATTTGGTTGAAAAGAAATCAATGGTGCTCTAGGAGGAGATTCAGGTGATAAGGTGGGGGGGATACCTTGGTTGGTGATTGGCTAATGGTTACACAAGACAAAACATCGTTATGACATCATAAAGTGCCCAAAATCTGATCAGCTCATTTTCAGACATCTTTGTTCCTGAAACGTTCAGAGTCTCTTTACACAGAGGGGACACATGTTGATGTAGAAGAGACATGAAAAGTGGATTTGCATAATAGGTTCCCTTTAAAATATGACATAGGTCTCTCGTTTTAAGACATTTTAATGCAGAAAAGTGCCACATTAAACTTTTATATTGTACCTAAGAGTGTGATGAGGCGGTGTGTGTCCTGCGGGTGGCGTTGGTAGCGCACCACCTCCTCGTACGGGCTGCTGAGGGCGCTGCAGCAGCTGTTGGGGCAGCGGGGGGGGCAGGACGGCTGGGCGGTGCTGTGACTCCGCCGCCGACACAGACGCATGCTGCGCCTGAAGCCCACTGGCAGAGAAAGGAAAGATAATGTTAGTGAGGAATGGTCTGTGATATGTTCATGCAAACTCTTTGATAGGACATCATAAAGAGAGTTCAGACTTACCTAAGAAACCCCCTTCAGTGCTGCTACTGAAATCATCCTCCTCTGGAACAACCAGAAAGGAACACATGAATGCAAATGAAGGTGAGAGGGTTAAACAAACTGAAATAAATGCAGAACTTCCCGTAAGCTGGGGGGCTTTAACAAATGAAAGGTTAAAGGGTTAAGGTTCAGACTGCTTTTAATGTCTTTTGTGGGTCAAGAAAAAAAAAAGTCGAGGTCCTACAATTCCCACAATGCAATGCACCAATGGCATGTATTTATTTTTCTCTTTAAGCAAGTAGTGAGTCTATTCAGATCAACTGAAACTATGTTTTCCCACCTTCTCTGAGCTCTTCTGACATTTCCCCGTCAGACAGCAGCAGGAGAATAAAAAACAAACGATAACGAATGTCTCAGATGAAGGACACGAGGAAGAGTTATTCAGAATTCAGAGTCTAAACCAGTTGAAATTAAATAAACTTACCTACCAGATTCAAATGCCTCCTCGTCTGATGCAATCCAAATAACACACAGAGGGAAATTAATCATACGTGTGTGTAGGAATTATAATAGGAATACATCTCAGGTGGAGCTTTACCTGCTTCTACACATTTGTCATCGATGGCCATCATGTCTTCCTCTGTGGGAGAAAAAAGGAGTTGTTAGAACACATTACAATCTTTTTTCTTCTAAAGCTGCAGGTGCAATCTGCTTACCTTCCTCTACAGTGCTCACTTCAGGAAGCATGGAGTAAAACACAATGAAATGTTTGAACAGAGGCTGAGAAACTTGGATTTCAAGTGTGATGAAAGTGAAATGAACTTACAGGTGTGTATGCAGGCGTTCGGCTGATAAGGCTGAGACCACCAGGACTCCCTCTGCTTCCTGTCACAACACCACATTTAGGGTTTAAAGTTCTCCAATTATGCTATTTGTAGGCATATATTATAGGTCTCAGATACATACAAATATATAAAAAACATGTCTATGAAGTGTTTTGCTCAAAATACCAAACAGATCATGCATTTTAGACATCCCTCATATCCCTCTATTTCAGCCCTGTTAGAGAAACGCTGATTCTGGGTCCTTAGCTTTAAAAAAAAGAAAAAAAAGAAGAGGGGGAGTTTATGGAGAAGAATTCTATCATGTTCCAAACCACATCGAGGATTATTTCTGAAACAGTATGGAGCTCAAATGGTTTACCACAAGGTGAGTTCCTTTTTTTATTTTCTGCTTTTTTACACATACCGTAATTTTCGGACTATAAGCCGCAACTTTTTTCCCATTTTTCGACCCTGCGGCTTATATAACGGTGCGGCTAATCTATGGATTTGTACAGCTCCGACGACTTGCTCTGAAGACACGGAGGAACAAAACAACAAACGAGTGAAACAAAGCGTATATTAAAGCCCGGGAAATATACCCGTTTTGACGCTGTTTCAGGAGCGCCTCTAACATTGTTTTGAAGGCCTGTTGCTAGCTGCGGGGGATCCTCGGGCTAGCCCTGTAGACACCGGGCCGAGAGAGCGCAAGGGACCGGGACAGGAGCTCCGCGGGATAACGACCAGGTTTGACTGACCCTGCCAGTCCTATCTTATAACACAAAGAAGACGTAACCTCTCCTAAGTTTGAAAGTTGAAAAGTTTGTGTGTCTGAAACGCTATGTGATACAGTACAGTTTACACAGCACAGTACATGTTCTGTAGCTACTATTGCACTATTGGTAACACTTGAATACGTTATGCAAATATGCAACTTGTTTGTTGAAATGTTAATAAATGGGAGCTTCCTCAAACAGCCATCTCTTTCCCGACAATCCCCTCTGTGCACGAACCCTTACATATGGTAATTAAACATTAAAACACCTGCGGCTTATAGTCCAGTGCGGCTTATATATGTACACATCATTCAATTTAGCTGCTGCGGCTTATATTCAGCTGCGCTTTATAGTCCGAAAATTACGGTACTCTCTCCAGTACAGGTTAGCTCTGTGTTAGCGATGCTAATGTAAACACAGAACATATTACTTCCAAAATGTTGCGCATTGTTTCTGATAGTAACGTTTCTGATAGGGCCGTAGGTCCACATTTCCGATATTATGTCATATCGGACGCAAATCTGGATCAGCTCCGTTGGACCCCCGTTTTTTGAGATGTGGGTACGGAGGAAAAGAGAGAGGGTTTTGTTTTCTGACACTTTGTGAGTTCCCTGACACACCGGGGACACATATTTATGTATAAAAGTGCATTTTGCATGATAGGAGACCTTTCAATAATGCATGGTAATCATAATTGGGCAGCAGCAGCAGCATCTCAGTAGATCCCTCACCGTTTGAGCAGGTTGGTGGAGGGGATGAGTCCGGCGCAGGAGGAGTTGTCGGGCAGTTTCTTGGCCTGCCACCAGAGGGCGTCGGTCTGATCCACCACCTCCAGAACGTCGCCCTTCTTGAAGCTCATCCCGGCGTCGGCGCAGGGGATGGAGGGGTCCTGCTCCGGGCTGTAGTCCGCCATGGCCCGCACGTACAGCTGACCCCAGAGCAGCGAGGTTAATATCATGTGTGTGATGTCATGAGTGTGTGTGTAGATGACTTACCATGGTCTGGTTGTGGACCTGCCTCTCTGTGATGGGCACGACTTTAAACACGATGGTGCCCTGCGCCCTCACTTGCTGATTGGTTGTAGAGACAGAGCAGGGATTAATGAGTATATATTAATGGTTCCTAGGATTATTAGAAACTGAGCTGCATTTCTAAGCATTTTCTAAACATGAATCTGTTTTGACATGTGAAAAGGTGCTCTGATGGCCTTGGACAGCAAACATTTCTGCATCAAAAACTGCTTTAAAGAGTATTTTAATAAACAGTTTAGGGATGAATACATATTGAAATGATCACATTTGTGTTAGTATCCTTCCAAAAATGACATACCACAACTTGGATGACTTGCTCTGGCTCCATCCCGTCGACAGGGAACCCGTTCACCTCTACGATCCTGTCCCCTGCATGCAGCAACCCTACACACATAATACAAATTAAAATGAGACTTAAACTATTATTTCCTGTAACCCTGAGTCTCTGAAGTCACCAAGGTTACAAAACGTACTTATTAATAAACATTTAATATAACAGTTCTTGTCTTGAAGAAGGTCTCTGACTAAATGCTTGCTTATTAAAAAGACTTTTGCACATATTCGAGTGTGCAGATGCTCTTTTTATTACATATTTGACCTAGGTAAGACTACAATAAAGATTTATGAAAAAAGAGAATCAACAGGAAATGCAATAACGTTTGAGTATTCTGGTTTGTTCTGGACCGTTGGAAAAGTATGTTAGACGTAGAAATCTTTAATTGAAGACATTATCTTAGAGAGGAAATGCTCACCACTGCGATCAGCCAGACCTCCGTGAATCACCCGGGCGATGAAAATCTCCCCCGTGTTCTCGTTTCTCTTAATAGTCGCTCCCTGGAGCAGAGAAGATATGAGAACAGAAGATGAATAAAGCTAATGTGAAAGACTCACAACAAACAAATACACGTGGTGAAGTCTTGGGAAAGCTTGGACAGGATGTGAAATGTTTGAATCATGACAGTTTAGGAACATATCAAGTGACAAACACAAAGTGAGGTTCCTGAAATGAGACATGAGAAGAAAGCAGTGGAGGTGGGAGTGAAAGGAATCAAGGGTCTTATGAATTTATTTTTAAAAGACATGTTTTTGACAGAAGACGCTATATATTGCTACAAAACAAAGTAATGCAACATCGTAGATCTGGAAATAAGCATCCTTGTGTTAGTTTCCAGAGTGGTAATGAGAAAGAATGGAATGATCCACAAACGATGGAAGAAAATGGCGAATAATGCAACAAAAAGTAGGGAATAAACGTCAGCTACCACCGTGCTCGCTCGCTGGTCGGCCCCTCGGTGCAGACGGCTTGAAAGGACCCTTAAAGTCCACTCATGAAAACTCTTCTGCGTCCCTCATGTGGCCTTCCTCCTCCTCCTCTTCCTCTGGTGAGAGCGTCTCACAGTGGGCGGAGTCCTCTTGTCCTCCTCCTGCAGGCCGTTGGTGAGAGGCTTCTTGGACGCTTGCTGCAGCTTCTTCTTCTGTGGTGACTGGGCGCTCTTCAGGGTGGGGCGGGGGGACCCACTGCAGGACACGGAGAGGCCGCTGGTCCCCTGAGAGGGGGAGGGGGCTTCCAGGAAGCTGCTGAGGGAGCTGGAGGAAGAGGAGGAGGAAGGGAGAGAGGGGAATCTGGATTGGTGCGTCAGGGATAGATGCTGCGCTCGGATCTTCTTGGGGGAGTCCTGGGGGGGCACGAGGAGGGTCTGCAGCCGGTCCACCACCTGAGAGAGCAGCACCAGGGCCTGGGAGTTGTCCTGCACCGTCTCCGACATGCGCTCCGTGGCGGCGGCCATCTTTTCCCCCAGCATCTTGATGTCCTTGGTGCTGCTCTCCATGGAGCAGGCGGCCAGCTGCACCGTGGTCCTCAGCTCGTCCAGGCTCTCCTGCTTGGCCAGCTCCACGGGGGGGGGCACCCGGGGGAGGTTCACCAAACGGCGAGGGCACAGGGGGCTGGGGGGGGCGGTGCGGATGCGGGGGGTTTGGCCTCGGAGACGGGGAGGAAGGCCTGGGTGGAGGTAGTGGTCCGCGTTGGCGTAGTACGGCACGGTGAGACACGGGGGGGATAACGTCCAGCGGCGGGCTGTGGGGGGGGAGGAGGGGGACTCTCCTGCTTCATCCCCACTGTCCAGCCCCTCCATGATGTTGTCTCCAACGGAAGCACAGACATTATTAATACATAGGGCTGCACATATAAGAATTACTCATGATATATTGAGTGTTGTTGGAGGACTTCCATTACTTAAACTAGTCTGCAGCTGTTGATAAATAAATAATGAAACACATCACAGTATTCCCTTCTCTTTTTTCAGTATATTGCTTGAAAACAAATTGCCTGTAGAGGTGGGAGATGTACTCAGATGTTGTACTTTACTCTAGTAAAAGTAGAAATACCAGAGTGTAGGAATACTTTGTTACAAGTAAAATTCCTCCATTCGAGATGTTCCTCAAGTAAAAGTAGAAAAGTATTATCAGCCAAATATAGTTAAAGCACCAAAAGTAAAAGTAGTCATTGTGCAGATTGGTCTATTTCAGAATAATATATATGATATGTTTGATAATGATTGATCATTAAAGTGTTATCAAAGCTGGTAAAGGCTGATTTAATACTCAAATAAAGTAAGAAACTGAAAAGTGTACTGAAGTATACTACTTGAGTAAATGTACTTAGTTACTTTACACCACTGATCGCTTGCTTAAATCGTGCCAGTTGGCCGCAAAACTACATTTCGTGCCGCCCTGATGAGAGTCCATGAGTTTCTGTGATGAAGGATGGATGAAGGATGGATGAAGATGACTCTTTTTTCTTACCGATGAGCACAGAGCTGTAGATGGAGGGCGCAGAGCGGTGAACACTCTGTTCCCAGATCAGCCCGGAGTAACAAACTCTACACGGGCTCAGCGGCTTGCCACAGCACATCTGATATTTACACGTTGAATGAAATCGAGGAGGAGCGTACGGCCGCGCTGCTGCTGCGGGACAAAGAGCATCGGACGGGGGGAAGCTGCCCCTGCGAGAGCTACACAACGACGAGGTCTTCAAAGTTCCTGCGGCATGGCTTTGGACCCTGAATGCACCGCCTTTCAGCAGGCTCTGCTGGGTCACACGTCTCAGGGTGTCCCAGTGATTTCGGACCCTCTCTTTGCATCGTTTCGCACACGGGGAGGATGCACCGAGTCTTTGGTGGGGGAGCTGTGAGACAACACAATCACTCAAAAAGGTAGACAGACATGTTCAAGACTGGGAAAAGAAACTAGATTTTAAAGATAAGATTATCTATCATCTCTGACCATTCTCAAAATCATATCAATACTTTAAATTGCTGTGCGCTTGGTGCTAGAAAATGGGTTTTTACTATATCTCTGACAAACACCCAAGCTCTCACGGTGGTTATATGGTTATAGGGCTGCTACTAATGGTTATTTTATAGATTAACTATTTAAAATAGGATTATATTAATGGATTTAAATGGTTTGGTCTATTTTAATGTAAGAAAACATGTGAAACATTTCCATCCCAGTTTCTAAAAGTCTAAGATGTCTTTAAATGTCTTGATATTCACTTTAAAATGATACAAAAATCTGGAATAAGCGTGACATGCTTTGCATAGAAAAAGACTTTAAGTTTGCTTTGTGAACAATGCTCATATGTTTCTTTTATACCATGATTGTCTTCCTTAAAGTTCAGTTAAAACCAATACTTTGTTGTCAAATAAAAAACTCAAAAGACAAACTTATTACAAGACATGTTAGTATTTTGCATAAATTGATAACCTTTAATATCCTCATGTTCCCAGTGGTTTCTGCGGGGAGGAAATCTGTAGCATCAGCAGACAATTACTAAAATGACAGATTATAAAATCCAAACATCTGGTCTCTGTTGGATGCAGTCCGCTGATTTCAATTTGGCAGAAATAAAAGAGCCTACATATTAAAATACCCACGAGCATCTGCTTTGAGACATTGTGCTCCAGTTTATATGCTGGGATGTATGCATGGTTCACAGACCAATACATACATAGCTCAATCTAAATATGACAACACATCATAAAGCAAATCTTCTACACATGAAATGCAGTCTAAAGGGTCAGTTCACTCAAATCACTAATTATATTTTCCTTTTGTGTCCCTATATTTGTGTGTTATGTGACAAATATCTTGATATATGTGTTAAGACCTACTCTGTGCAGAATGTCTCCACTGATGCAATTTGTAATGTCTTCTAAGAAACAAAGATTCTTTCGAGGTGTTACATGACGGATTGAGGAGACTTTGTTTGTGTAGCTCACCAGAGGCTGTTTGTTCTTCACCAAGCAGACGGTCCTGGTGGCCTCCTCTTCCTCCGGCAGCTCGTCGGGCATCGGAGGCAGAACCGGCTCATAGTCCTTCTGGGCCACCGTATCATGAGCCGAGAGCAGAGCCTGCAAGAGATAACGATCACCAGACATCAGTTTATAAGCAATTCTGGTTCATTTTGACAACTTTCATGTCAAAGTCAAAGTCAACTTTATTGTCAATCTTTCAGTTTGTGTGTTTCCCACAATCCCGAGGAATAAAAAATGCATGAAGTTATGTTGCTGTAAATGATATATGCAAAGTATATCCAATGATAAAAAGACAACACATCCAGACTTCCTACCTGCAGGTGAGGCTGTCTCAGGAGGCGGTAAAGCTCTTTGGCCTCTTCAGAGCAGCCCGGCAACGATCTGATGTCAATCAGCAACTACACGAAGCAAAGTCCGACATTTATAATAAAAGACTTCCACCAGATGAATGTGAGTTGGTAATAAAACATAAAAGAAGAGTAACCTGGAGTGAGAGTCCTGAAGCGTAGTCCAGAGCCGGAGCTGGGGAATCACTCAGGAACGTCTGGAGACACTCGTAAACCTGAAAACAATGATCAAATGATGATAAAGAAATAACATTTAAAGTTTCAAATGTATTATTAAACACCTTGAGGCTTTTATGTTTGTATCTAAGCCCACATTTCCCTCAACCTATGTCTTTGACATGCTCCTTGACATTTCCTACATTTAGAGAGTTATTTGTGTTCACATCCCATCCTAGGACAATCTATTGAAGGTCAAATGAAAGTAGAATTTGTTCTCAACGTTGTGTTTGACAAAAAAGGAAATATTTTGTGGTATAAAGGTTTAGATTTTGTACATTTCACAGCCATCAAACACCATTGCAGCTGTGGCCAACATATCTTTATTTTCATCCATGGTTATATTTTATTGAGACGAGTTTGTCTCCCTGCTTGTGTCCTCTGTTATGTCAAATCAACCATATCTATTCAAGTTATTTTAATTGTGCTTTTATATCCATCTGTATTGCCTGTGGAGGTAATAACAAATAAAAAGAATATGAGAGAGTAACTGACTAATCACTAATAATAAATACTATAATATTCAAGTGGTGATAATATTTCAACTAAATGATAAAGTGGATGTTCAGACCTTGATCAGTGAGAGCAGCCAGGGGGCTTTCAGACTGTGGAGGATCTCCGCTCCATCGATGTCCTGATTCACAGACTTCCTCACCTCCTCGATCACATCCGTAAGGATCTGACGCAGGCCTGCAACACACACACACACACACACACACACACACACACACACACACACACACACACACACACACACACACACACACACACACACACACACACACACACACACACACACACACACACACACACACACACACACACACACACACACACACACACACACACACACACACACACACACACACACACACACACACACACACACACACACACACACACACACACACACACACACACACACACACACACACACACACACACACACACACACACACACACAACACACACACACACACACACACACACACACACACCGGGGGATTATAAATACACAGAAAGCTGTGGTGGTATATTAACTGTCCCAGATATACTGACCGTGTTCTCCTAGCTCACAGTGGGGGTTTAACACCTGAGCCTCCACAGCCTGCCTCATAGTCACTGGACCCCCGACCTTTGACCCACAACCACCTGCTGCCTGCTTACGAGGACCAGAAAGACCTGGGAAAGTGAAGGCAACACAACAAACAGTTTTAGACGAGTGCCGAATACAAACAGATGCTTCATTCTTAAAGGGGAACATTTTCCACCTTTTGATCGGGATATCCAATCAGAGAGAAGGTGCTATCTTGATGTGAATAAAAAACAGAACTTGATTGTTCTTTTCGCTTGTATTGCAAACTAATTCTTGCACGCAATGCATCCTGGTAAATGTAGTAACTTCCGCCTTTCTCTGCAAATTAGGCTTTAATCACCTTTATTTTCATCTACCACTTAATTTACAATCCAGTTGTTTCTTGTTTTGGTTGAAGGTTGCTTTATTTATTACTTTTCTTATTTGTGCTTCTCGGTGCCTATCAAATATTATAAATATGGTCCCTGCCTCAATGTATTTTTGAGTCAAATAAAATAAGAATAGATAAACCTTTATTGGTCCTCTTAGGCAAATATAGGTATCATAGCAGAAAAAGCAATAAGATAATTAAAGACTGTATGAGTACATAAAATAAGAAAGGTCTGGGACATCTCTACAAGAAAGGGCTGCAAGATTCATTTACAGGATCTATTTCTTTCTTTTCTTTTTATTAACCAAGAGTAAGTGACATGCAATAAGTGTTTTAGTCTCCTTTGGCTGTTAATCCAGCCGAGGGATCAGGCGGAGAAGCCACAACTTCATCAGAGGTTAGTGTGTGGGGGTCAGGGGTTAATGGCACACTTCACGGCAGCTCATATATGAGCAACGCCATGTAAATACGGAGATGTGCGGACCTTAATCTCTGGCTGGAGAACCATCAGGAGAGAGCTGACACTAGTATCAACATAAACCTGTTTAATAGTAGGAAGTTAGGTGGGACATTTGTTTAATTTGACAGACTTAAAAAAGTAAATTAAGGCAGATTGTATACCTCATCTTGACTGGAAAGGAATTATGTTAAGACACACAATGTATTCAAACACAGCTGTGGTTAAAAGGGATTCCCTGTAAGAAATAAAACAGGAGTGAGAGGAGGTGTTTCTGTTAGAGCAAAAATAATCTTACCTTTGTGTCTGAATTCTCAGGAATGCCCAAGCTTTTATCCTCCTGCAAGTTTATAGCAGCGATTCTGGTGCAGCAAAATGTATATATGCTGGGAAATGAATCCCCGGAGACTGGACTACACTTTCATCGAGCTGCAGGGAACGAGAGGCAGAGAGAGGGAGGGCTGTAATCTCTCCCGATCCCACTTAATCCCGGGCAAGTGAGCCGACTGCCTCTGCCCACCGGAAGCCAAGTCCTCCCTCACCGGCTGGCTTGTTTGCTGCCAAATCTTCTTAACTCTTTCAGCGGCACGCAGGAGGAGGAGACCCTGGACAGAGAAGGAGAGAATCGTGGTGACACCATAAACGTCCTACTTCCAGTTCCTCGAAAGGGCCCGAGTTAGAGAGATGTGTAATTTCGAGGTTGAGTAAAAGAAAAAGCCTTTAGTCTGTAATTAAAAGATCTGCTAATCTGCCACTACAGCTGGAGACTCGAGTTAATGGAGAGTAGACGGCAGATAAAGTATCTTTTAGTCCCCTTACTTAAAAACTGTCAGGAATGGGGGTAATCTCCTGATTGGTAATCTTATTTCTTACATTTTCCTTAATGCTTTTCAGCTATGGAGCCCCAAAACTGACTTTGTTTCTGCTGTATTCTGCTTAAACTTTATAATATTGAAATATTTTCTCACCTGAAGGACAATTCGTCACCTGGTTTATATGTGTTACCTCTCTTCGCACACCACTACTGGAGCCCTGAAACTGACAAAATGTAGAAAAAGTTATTAGAAGAGTCAAATAATCTATAATATTAAAGCTAGTCAAAGAATAGTTAAAATAAATATATTTTGCAAATAGTCAATTCATAAAAATAGTTTAAAACATAATAAAATTACGTTATATTACGTCTGTCACCCACACTACATTTCCCATTTTCCTTATGTAACGAAAATAATTATAATAAGGAGAAATTATGAAGATATTTTGTGATATTCGCTGCAAAACATTTAGGAGGACTGCAAATAATTATCTATAATTGTTTAAACATTAAGCCAACAAAATAGTGGTAACAATTTGAGTTTACATTCAGAAAAAACTGTGAGAAGCAAAAACAATCATCAAGCTGGAAGCAGAAAAGGCTTAGCAACAATTCAATTTGGATTATTTTTGCATTACAATTTGTAGGAATAAAACGGTAAAAGCAGATTAGGTAGCAACATCCATCGAATAGTTTATTGCCCTCTGTAAGTATTTACAGGTACAATACATTGTAAAAGACAAACAAAGTGGGAGTCAGCCAGCTCAAACACAAAATGTCAACTAGTAAACACCAAAGTGAGAGAACAGTCATTTGAACACAGAATGAAGGAACATTAGACCTGTGCGCGGCATTTTGAAAAGTAAACATGTGTCGAGGACATGAACCCAACATGAGCTTATGAACAATAACCTTCAGTTTATATCGATAACCATTCAGAGCGGATTTAAAATAACACTTCATGTATTTGAGTCAGTTAACCGTTTTCCATAAACGTGCAGTTTTGTATGAGTAGTTTGGTTGAAAGTCAGTTTTTACGTCAATTGAAAATACAACTTTATCCTTCGACATTTAAAAAAGTCACACATTAACACTGAACTGAACAGGAAGTGTTGTCTCTCAGTTAAATAAAGATGTCTCTGGGTGACAGAATCATTTCACAATGGAGGCATTTTTGGAAAGGGAAAGTGTTGCATTTTGGGAATTAAATCCTTGAAGAAGATCGTCAGGCACAAACGGTCTCAGCAGAAAAAGAGCTCAAACCATGGAAGAGTCTTAATAATATCCTAACAGTTCGAAGCTCTGTCTTCAACATTCTATCAGTTTAACAGCCAAAGATGAACGTTTTTAGTTAAGGACATGCAGCTTTCAATTCAAATCATTTTTTCGCCCGCTTTCCGTAGATATTAATAATCCTGCGGGGAAAAGAGCAGCTTCACCTAAATGTATCCCTTCAAAACGAGGCTTCTGATCCGCGGGCTTTGCAATTGTTAAACCATGTGAGAAAACAAAAGCCATGATATTAAAAATGATGGCTGGGATCCCTCTGAATCCCCTCTTAAGCCCTTTCATAAACTCACATGTGTGACGCATATCACAAATAAGCGACATTGTCTGACAGTTAGAGCTGTAGTTTCCTGATTGATGTGCCAATTGTTCTCCCTGCCTGTAATGAACACTGTTACCGTCACAAACAGTTAATACACACTCTTCTGATTCATTTTAGGGCGATGAGTGTCTCCCAAAATATATTTTTCTCTTGGATTTTAGTGGGAATAAAGGGGATGTGAAGCGACCTGCAGTTTACTAATTCAACAACATTACAGGCATTGAGTGCATAAAACATGTTAGCATTCATTTATGTTAATTATGGCAACCCTGTTTCCAGCTTTCTGCTTTAAAAAGGATTATTTGGCTTCAGAAAAGGATGATTTTTGCTTCATATGAAAGGAACACTTACTTGTTAAAACTGAGAAACATATGCATGTTGCTTTAAGAATCACATGTGCCATATCTTCAACAAGTCCTGGTTGTGATTTATCTCGTAGAAACTGTCAGTGTTTGTGGCGATAAATGTTTGGGAAATCGGAGTCGCTGGTTGGCTACCAAAAAAAGGGACTTAAAGTCGGCTAATACAGCCACTAACTGTGTTTAACGCTATTCTGCTGCCACTTGGTGTAACAGGAGATGTCATTTTAGAATAATAGCCAAGCCAGTTTATGTTGATGATACAGTATCAAACAGATAAACCTCAGAGATACTTGTAAAGCATTTGTTAAACCATCAAGTTATCCTTGGGGTCTATTCTCTTGTAAAACGGTTTGAAAACACTTGAGATAAAGCATGAATCACATGTACGTCAGTTGGTGAAGTTTCTTTTGTGTTAGTGGAGGAAATTGAGCTAGCTGTAAACATATCGATGTCCCGGACACTTCGTAAAAAGTGTGTCAGTTCCTTAAAGTGTCGTGCTTTCAAGGTATTTATTCAGATAGTAACTGGCTGAAACACTGGAGGTTAAAAAGGAACGTTTTCTGTGCCATAAAGTGTTTGTTTCATGCTGAAAAATGTACGTATTTCACAGAAGAAAAATAGGTGCCATATCTCACAGTGTGCAGAGAAACTCAAGAGCCAACTTGGTCCATTGGCACTGAAAAGAAAAATCGTTCGAGCTTGAATTTCCTCCCAGGTAACTAACGTACCCTTCCTCAGGATTTCCCACAGGAAGTCAGTCGGACCGGTTTAAACTGGACGGCATGTAGTGGCTCAACACAGACAATATTCACATTTCCATGATCCATCAGAGGAGAAGAAGGGTAAATAATAAAAAAAAAAAGGAGACTGTGTGTGTTTGTGTGCCCGTCTCCATGACAGCAGCAGATGGAGCTGTGGGCAACCTGTTCATATGATCCTTCGCTTCCCATTGGTTGGTGCTCCGGTCCGTCATCCTGAAGCCTGGCTGATCCTGGCCCTCTGGTTGGCCGAGATTGTGGGTCGGGACAGCAGGAAGTTTACGCCCAATCATTTCTTAGGTGATCTTCTCATGCTGGATCTGGTAGTAACACGCCTGAAGGTGGAGAAGACACTTTTATTTAGTATAAGAGCCATTTCAAATATATATAATAACTACTGGGGTAGAGAAAACTCACATTTAAGAGAAAATAAACCTACAAATATTCTGTGAGATAATAAAGTCACTTATTACGAGAAGAGTGTGTGTGTGTGTGTGTGTGTGTGTGTGTGTGTGTGTGTGTGTGTGTGTGTGTGTGTGTGTGTTACCTTGAGTGTGGTAAACATGATACCGTGCTCTCCGTGCTGCACGCAGGGGTCCATCAGGTCTTCAATCAGGCTGACCTCTGACCCCAAATTTCGGATTCTTAGGACAAAACATTATAAATTTCATAAGATTCAAGAACTTTAAAACTGCTTTTTTTGGAACTACACTAAACAGCTCAGTAGCAATATAGATACAGTATATATAAAAAGTAGCAGATTATTAATTGTTTGGTAAAAGCCTGTGTGTTTTCTTTCACTATCAACATTGACTCTTGGCCTACAATAAAACAAATCTCTCTGTTGTCTCATCATCATATTATTTGTGTATTAGTGTGTGATTGGGTTTGGTTTGGCGCTGACCTGGCACGCAGCACCACGTAGAGGAAGACGGGGAAAAGGTCGTCCATGGACCACAGGAAGTCCTGCTTCAGCAGCGACTGCACGGCCTGAGTGATCTCCTCGAAGGTGAGCTGGATCACCTGCAGCTTGTCTGACGGGGTGAAGGTTGTGCTGCAAACAAACAAGAAATATAGATTTTAAAAACAGCTCTTTAGATGTGATTTTAACTCGTTTTAAAGTTGTTCCGTACCTGATCTGTTGTAGTGTTTCCACTGCCGAGGCGAAGCAGGCGTCCTTAGTGCTGGACAGGACCTGAAGACCAGAAGACACACCTTTTATTCACGGTGGAAAAACTGTTACTAAAATACTGTATACAAGGTTTCTACAGCTGAGGGCAGGTTTAATTAAGTATTTTTAAATGCCACTCAGACCTACTTTTATTTTGTTTCAAAGGTTTCCGTTATCCAGCTCTGTGTCCATTTTAAACAAATTGCTTTAACCCATTTTTTTGTATTCGTCAATGCAAAGTCAGAAGAAAAATAAATAATAAAATGCTACTTCCTATTATTTCTTAGCATTTGTATGGCCGTCTCTTTTAAATTGAATGTCTTAAACTCTTTTAATAATAAATAATAATAAGCGCTTTTCCTAATGCTCAAAGATACTTTTTTGAGGATCCGTGGGAACCCTGGTATGAGCTAGGTATTCAAACTACTGTAGATGCAAAGTGACTTTTGATTTGAAATGAACAATTATTATTTTAGTGATTAATCTGCAAATGTTATTCTAGATTAATGGATTATCTGTTCAGTCTATAAAATGTAAAGAAATTGTGAAAAAGGGCTCAACATAAAAAAAAAAAAATTGCTTGATTACTTCCCAACTAACATTTCAGAGATGTAAAATACTCTCTTTACTTTCAAAATGACTTTAAAATATTCCTAATAAAGAAGCTGGAACCAGAGATATATTGAAATGCTCGATCAAATGTGTGACTGTAAATAAAAACTACCTTTTTTTCTTTATCTTAAGGTAAAAGTAAAGCAACTTGAACCATACCTGCTGCTTCTCTGCCAGTTCAGACATGGATGTGGGAATGGAAACCGGCCAGAACTTCCTGCGGACAGGAAGTCATTGTTTAGGATTTACATGCATATCACTCTTTATTGTATGTTTATCCAGATTGTGACGTACTGCTGGACCCCGAGGAAGGCGAGCAGGGCGAGGTCGGGCTGCTTGTTGAGGCGGAGCACACACTCCCAGTACACGTCGTCCTCTTTCTCCTTGTCCAGAGCGTAGAGGGTGAAGAGGGGGGGGGTAGAGGCGAGGAAGCAGGACGGGGAGCAGTAGAGCCGAGCTGCTCACCACACGGCTGAGGAGGAAACACACAGGAGGGTTCAACAGAGTCCTTAAAGAGGCATACACCCTGAAATAAGGCCTGTGGTTTGCCCCGTCCTTACCCAGGTTTAGGTGACTCTAGATGGGCATCGCTGGAGCCCGGCTCCCTCTTGTCCTGGAGGTTGGTGGTCGGCTCTGGAATTAGACCGCCCTCTTCTGGCAGGTCTGGGAATAAAAACCTGCAGAGCACACATAAGCACACTTAAACCTATCCTGGTAAAATAAAGGTCAAATTAAAAAGTAAAATAAAATACAACATGTATATTTTAAACGCAAAATCGGTCATTTTCCAGCACTACAAGTCATTCAAAAAACAATATGATAAGATAGATCCTTCCACCGGTTATAAATATAGTGTGAAAAAATGACTAAGATATAGAAATTGTGTGGAAGAAATGTGGTTTGAAAGCGGGAAAAAAATAATTTATGACAGCTTTTGGCAAAAAAAACACGACACTGGCATTTGCGCAAAGGAGATATAAATAATGCAATTTTAGGAGACCTAATAATTCACCTGATTAGAATAAAAAGTGTCTTTGGGTTGGAACAGGGTTTGTAAAGTTCACAACTCAACAAAATAGGTCTGTTTTCTACACATTTTAATGCTCAAGTGTTAAATATTATACCTTTAAATGATATCCATTTTGAACAATCATTTGAATCGGGGCTATTTGCAGTAGCTTGCTGACTGAATGTTAGTTACCTGACGATGAGGAAGATGCGGTTGAGGTATGACTTGATCTCGTTGACCGCCTGAGGCAGCAGCCGACGATTGGCTCCCACGCCCACGTAGGTCATCCTGTACACCGCCACCAGGGTCTCCAGCAGCCGGCCCAGCGAGTGGAGGGGGGTGTCACACGCCTGGAGGAAGTGGAGGGATATTACTGTTACTAGACAAAATGATTTCACTGCTAAATCTGTGGAGTGGGGTACAGTTACTCCATTTGATGATTTCATTTCATGGTGAAAACATCAGCATCACATTTAGATCATGATGTCTAATATTTCCTTCACATGTACAAACTGTTTAAAAATATTGTATTCTTGTTTTTCTCAGTGTGGTTTTTTAAAAGTATTTCTTACTTTTAATTTGATTGTTGTTTACAGATTGGTTGTTTTCCGTTTGTCTTGGTAGTTTTTTTTTTTTTCCTAGAGTACACTGGCTTTTCACCTCTCCTGTCACATTTATTTTGATTTTATTATGTGGATTTTATTTAGTGTTATGTGTGTGCAAATAAAAGCAAAATGGATCATTTGAGCAAGAGAATGCAAGCTTTGTTTTATTTTGTTTATATCCAGGACTTTAGAGGTTGAAGAAGAAGACAGATCCTTCATTCAAGTAAAATCAGCAATTTCATAATGTAATGGAATATATCCCATAAGCATTACATGTTTTATTGAAGTATATGGAAGTTAGTATCATAAGCAAAATATCCCATTAGAAAGAAATGTGTTTGACAGATCAGTTTGCACACAGTTGGGCTCACCTTGATGAGGTAGAGTCGGATGATGTGATATCTCTCCATGGTGATTGGTCCTTCGTGCTGCGGGATCACCTCCAGACTCTCCAGGGTCCTGCTGTGACTTCGAGACAACGCTTCCGGACTGCAACACACAAAAAATATACATCACCCCCTGAAATAAAACGTGTTTTTCCCTGGTAAAATGAAACTAAATGTCAGGAGTGTGTGTGTGTGTACCTGTCCTGGATGAGTCTCCGGCTGGTTGTGAGGGCCATGGCGATGTTCTCCCAGGCCCTCCAGTTCTCTCCTTGGCCTGGGGTCTCACAGCCCAGCTCACTCCAGCACTCCTCGAACACCGCCTGCCACTTGTCCTCCGCGCACACACACAGACGCCCCAGCTTCCTGCCACACACACACACACACACACACACACACACACACACACACACACACACACACACACACACACACACACACACACACACACACACACACACACACACACACACACACACACACACACACACACACACACACACACACACACACACACACACACACACACACACACACACACACACACACACACACACACACACACACACACACACACACACACACACACACACACACACACACACACACACACACACACACACACACACACACACACACACACACACACACACACACACACACACACACACACACACACACACACACACACACACACACACACACACACACCACACACACACATTATGAAAAACTCCCTTTTCCATGTCTTTTATACATAAAAATGTGTGTTAAGAGAATCTGAAAGTGTCTCTTTTTGTCCTGATCCATCTAAAATTAGCTGATCAGATTTTGGCCACTTTGTGATGTCATAATGTTTTTTTGGGTTGTGCACCCATTAGCCAATAAACAACCAAGGTAACCCCCTCCCACCTTATCACCTGAATCTCCTCCTAGAGCCACATTTTGTTTTTTCAACCAATCACTTCTCAGAGGGGCGTGGCCAGCAGCCGCTCATTAGCATTTAAAGCTACAGACACAGAATCAGCACTTTTGGAACAGGGATGAAACAGAGGGGTTTATGGGATGCTACAATGATCTGTTTCAGCCAAACACTTCAGAGACAGGTTCTGTATATATATATATATATATATATGAGACCTATAATATATTGTTTAAAACAGTATAATAGGGGACCTTTAATCATGATTAAATGCAATTTTTCTGCACATTCTAGATTCTGTGTGAGCTTACACGTCGCGGGTCTTGTCCTTGTCCGTGTCGAACAGGTGCGGTTTGAAGTAGGAGCCCGTCACTTTGAGGCCAGAGCCCCATTCCCCGTTAAAGGAGCCCTCCAGGTAATCAGCGTTTGGCATGGTGAGCACACCCTGAGAGGAGAGACAATTAGAACATTTAACTACCCTGATACACATTACTACTATTTCTTTATATGTTTTTGGTTCCTTCAATTGTGTTATTCCCCTGCTATTTATTTTAATTATTTGTATTATTAACTTGGGATCCAAAATGTTTTTAAGAAAAAGTGATTTAAAAAAAAACAAAACATGCTAATGGTTAAATATACACACTATATTGACATCGTGTTCATTTGTCACCTTTCCGTTGAGGGTCCAGTCATCAGAGAATTCCCCCTCGTATGTGGTGTCGTCCTCGGACAGCAGGATTCCGGTGCCCTAAAACAGAAAAAACAGAAGGAATTACAAAAAAAAAAATATATATAAAATAGCTACATTAGCGTTGGTCTCTTAAACTGCCAAGCACAATATGTGACTGAAATCACAGAGGAGCTCACCATCATCTTATTTTCTTTGAAAGCTCCTTCGTAATAAAGTCCAAACTGAGTGACCACGACCCCGTTGCCCTGCCGCTGGTGATCCTGCCACATGCCCATGTACTTCTCTCCTCTGGGAAAAAACAGACAAATGTAAAAAACCAAGATAAAGCTGAACATCTTAAATTAAACACAGTTGTATAAGCTTGTCAGAGCTGGTCATTTATCCACATTTCTAACATAAAACGGACTGATGAGCGTACTTTGTGATATCATCAAAGACTCCGTATCCGGTCTTCTTGTCCTGCAGCCACTGCCCGATGAAGACGCTGGGGGAGGAGGTGTTGAGCTTCCCGCTGCGCAGCATGCCGTGTCCGTGTCGCATGCTGTCCTGGAAGCAGCCGTCGTAGACCTCGCCGCTGGCATAGCTGCAAACACAGGGGGGGTTTATTATCTTATGTTTGTTATCCTCAATGAGAGTTTCTACCTCACCATTTCGAGGCACACTCACCTGTACGTCCCGAGGCCGTGCATCTTGCCGTCTTTCCAGTGACCTTGGTATTGATCGTTCTTGTTGAGCGTCTTGTTGGTAGCCACAAATTCACCAAAGCTACAAAAAAAAACACAAATAGGCATTAGGAAACAGGAGCTAAAAACCACCTGGCTCATGTAAGAATGAGACACACACATTATGCACTCACCCATCTTCCAGTCCGTTCTTAAACGTCCCTGTGTAAATTCTCCCATCAGGCCATTTTAACACGCCACTGAAAAACATCCAAATCATTACTACACATCAAGATCACTAATCATCCCTTGAGAAGCTGCATGTTTTTTTGTTGCATTTGACTTTATGCAGTGTCAGATGACAAGATCAATTATATTTGTTACCTCATGAGACAAACATGTCCCTTTGCTAAAACAGCTATAAAATGACCCTATAAATTAATAATATTATCCACATGTTTAATCATTTAAAAACCGAAATGAGTCCTGATGATCCCGACCAAATATCCATTCATATTCTGATTGATTTTCCCTTCAAATGCCAGTAATATCCCCCCAAAAAACACAAAAATAGCATGTATAGTCAATAGTAAAAGGTACAAATTGAAGCCATGGCTTTTGATGTAAAGCATGATATAATAAAATGCATGATTTTCTGCTGTAATGTCCATGGGATTAAAAAAAAAAACGTGTTTTAATGGGTTAAAAATTGCTGCAAAAGATTTTATACTTTTTAGGCACTGAGGTTTAACTTCCAAAAAACCTCACTTTAATGTACTTCAGATGCATTACAACAGCCAATACTATGAAAAACGTAAAAGCCAGAAATGTTTCCAGTTAGGCACAAGGATACAAATATTTGACCCATATGCAGACGTGTAGTGTCCCACCTGCCGTTGGGCTTCCCTGAGAGCCAGTGCCCTTCATACTTGGCCTCTTTCAGCCGCCCCTCCTTATAGAAGGTGTAGGAGGCGGTCCTGGAGACGGGGGGCTCCGTCTTCTGACTGGACCCGGAGCCGATGGAGGCGGTGTCCTGCCCCGCCCCGCCCAGCGCCTGCTCCACCGCCTGGTTGATGGAGCGGAGCCACTTGGCCTGGGAACGGATATAGCACAGTTTTTAAGGAGTGGTACAGGTTATATGGAGAATGGAGACAGGGTTACACGTAGAAATCATTTTATAATGACCAAAGGAGAGAGTCTGTAAATCAGTAACTTTGAAGGATTCACCTTCTCCGTGGGAGAGGACGCGAGCAGGGCAAACGTCTCCTCTGGTGTGATCAACTTTAACCCATACCTGCACGCGCACACACACACACACACACACACACACACACACACACACACACACACACACACACACACACACCACACACACACACACACACACACACACACACACACACACACACACACCACACACACACACACACACACACACACACACACACACACACACACACACACACACACACACACACACACACACACACACACACACACACACACACACACACACACACACCACACACACACACACACACACACACACACACACACACACACACACACACACACACACACACACACACACACACACACACACACACACACACACACATTTAATGACCTTTATCATAATTATAAGTGAATATCTTTGTGTTTTGTACCGACAAAACAAGACATATACAACCTTGATATGTAAAGATGAAGTTAGACTAAGTACATGTGCATCTCATAGGTTTCAAAACGTTTTAAGATCTGGTATTCCTGATGGTATTTGTCAGTTCAACACAAAAAACAATAATCTATTAATCAGACTCACAGGCCGCTGTTCTCCTCTGGGATGGGCTCCACCCAAAGTGTGGCCAAGGGGAAGACATGATGGGTGGAGAACTGGAGGAGGAACAGGCGTGGAGAATGAGGGAAAGGATGAGGAAAGAGGGGAGAAGTAGGTGTTAAGAAAGGGAAATAAACATCATTAATATTTGTAATGAATAAGACCACATTGAAAGACATACATGTGTATTGACCTTACACACAACCGAGTAGTTAACTTCAGCCTTCTCCATAAGCATGTCATAATTGAGAGGAAAAAATGTCTAAGGAAATTGACTGAAATATATTTAAATTTAGCAAAAATACCTCTTCTACCTAAAGAACATTTACCAGAAATAACATAACATTAATAATAGTTAGTATTTAATTTGTATACCTTATAGACCAAGGGAAGACAGATTTAACGGGGAAGAAAAGGTATTTAATTAAAAGAAAAGTAAAAAGTACAATAAACAAAAAGTAAGGAATTCATTTCATACAATAAATAATACAACAAAACACCTAATTATACTTTTGGAGAATAACATCATGTATTTGAAGCATGCAAGACAACATGTGTAGTATTATGCATTCATGCAACTCTTTCACTGCAACACCATCACAAGACACGCAGAACAATCACAGTCCACAGCCACTTCTTTCTCAGCTTCAATTGTACAACCTGCTTCAGGAATTTGAAGTTAACATTTTGGTTTTCACCTTCAGAGGATTTGATTTTTACAGACGTTTCTTTTGTCAAACAATGAGTCACACAGTCAAAAAGTATTGGGACAACCACAGGAGGGGAAGACAAAGAGGGGGGATGCAAATGGGAAGAGAGAAACCCAGAAAAAACAGACAAACAGGGAGAAGAGGGAAGGAAACTGCTTTGGAGAAATGAACCAGTAACTGTAGGTCAACCGTTATATAACAGCAGTAAAACAGGAATGTAGTACTTTTTAACAGTTTAAGATTCCCAGCTGGATTGGTTGCAATGAGGCAACAGAAGAGCAACACATAATGTATGAGAATAAAACGAAATGGTTTTGTTCATTTGTCCATGCAGGTAGAGAGCAGACGGAGGAGGAAGGTGGGGATAGGGCTGCGTATCAGCGGACATTTTGAATCAGTACTTTGGTTGTTATCTCCTATTTCTTACAGTCAGTATTAGAGGGGAAATATTTGCAGCGATTCATATATTTTTGAAGATTCATATAGCATGAGAGCACTGGATTCAGGGTATCCTTAATTTGTAAGTTATTTCATTTGATGGATAAGCCAGAAAACAAACAGAAAAAAAAAACGTAATGTTATAAATATAGATTTTCCAGAGTATGTAATATAACATCAGTTAATGTATGGACATTAAAAGTAAACTGGGGATACAAATAAAGTTTCAAACATCTATCTAACAACACTTGTGTCCAATTATTTAAACAAAGAAATGTGTTTTAGCGATGGTCCACAACCTCATTCATATATTTGGTGCCAAATGAACGCTCAGATGTTTTATGTGTGTGTGTTTGTCATGTGTTTTAGGGCTGAATCCTATGACACAGAGCCCTGAGCCCTGAGCCCTTCACACACACACAGAAGAAAAGGGTACAGGGGGGGGGGGGGGTAAAGGTCGCTGAGCTGACATTTGCTTCTGGCTGCATACTTACGAGATTTTTACAAGGTGACACGCCCTGACAGCACGGAGGCAAGCACACACAAACGCTTAAAACACACCGAGTTACAGAGCCCAAAGGTGACGGCTTCAAACAGGTAAAAGGACATGATGGAAAGTGTGTGTGTGTGTAGCTCACCTGCGCGTGGACCAGAGCGTCATTGAAGACGATGAACCAGTTGACGGAGAACCTGCCGGCGTTCTGCAGCGTCAGCGCTTTGTTGCTGCTCTCGCAGATGAGCCGGCGATAAGGCTTCCTCAGAGAGTCCTGTCGGAAAAAAAACGTTCAGCAAAACGTGACATCATGTGACCCTTCCAGGACTCATTGTGAAGGACACACACACTCTGGGAGTTTACCGTCATTTTGCCGGGGAAGCTCTTCCAGAAGTGGAAGGTGTATTCGGCGTCCTTCCTCTTCCTCTTCAGTTTAAGAGCTAAGGCTTCAAATTTGGAGCAGCTGTCCTGCAGCCTCTGGTAGTCATCGGAGCTCTGAACGAACACACACAAACACACAGAAATATTGAATGTAGAATGTGCTAAAAAGAGTCAGATTCTGGTGATTTTACTAATACAAATATACGCACATTTACAAAGATTTGAGCTCAAAATCTCAACATTTTGAAAGCATTTAAGATGAATTATTTTAAATTATTTCCAACTCATTAACCTGTTTTTTAAAATAATCTAGAGAGCTTGTTGTGAGTTGTATGTCTACTACAGTAGGAACTATTTTCTTTCTACCAAACTAGTAGCATGGATTAAAAAGTAGCACTATAGGTAAGAGAAACAATTTATGCAATTATGATTTTGGGGTGAACTGTCCCTTTAAATGTAGGAAAGAAAAACACTAAGGATAGATATAGATAGATAAATGCTTGCAAATAATCTTCAAATCAAAAACATATATCTTCCATCAGTGGTCAATTATAGTCAAATAACATTTCAAACATTATAGGCATACCAACAGAAGTAAAGCATGTTGTCGTTGTGTTTGTCTGACCCACCACTTCAAAGCAGGTTGCCAGTTTGAGCAGCAGGCGGCCGTACTCGTGCATGTGGCGAGTTGGGAGGTAGAAGAGCGCCCCCAGCAGGTCGGCCACGGTGGGGGTCTCCTCGCTGCATTCAGACAGCTTCTTCAGCAGCTCGGGACTCTTCCCAAAGAAGTCTCTACAAAGGAAATCAGCAAGAGTTAGTGTTGATCATGTGATTTACTCAGCATTTACTGTCATATTTGTGTGTGTGTGTGTGTGTGTGTGTGTGTGTGTGTGTGTACTCACATTGAGGGTTTGGTCAGGGTCTGGAAACCCCCCATCACTTGCAAGTTGCCCACAGCGCTGCAGTACCTTTCATTTTAGAGACAATATTAATTTTAAAATAACTTTTTAACTGTTTACAAAGTGCTTCACAAAGATATGAAAAATGAAAACTAACAAGTCATAAATAAAGCAATGAATAAAAAAAGCCTAGGTTAGAAAAAGGAAATTAAATTAAAGTAAATCAGGGAAGGCTCTTTGAAACACGTATGTTTTGGAAAGGCACTCAAATGGAAGAAATATGTTGTTTTTGAACGTTTTATACCACTTGACTGTGTTCATATGCAGTAGAAAGAACAAGAAAAGCCCTGAAAAGGTGTTATTTTTGCTTGATATGTGACCTTCAAATGTCTCTATTTTTTAAAGCTTACTCGCTGTAAGAGTCGAGGAAGATGTCGGCGTGTTCGAGGACGAGGAGGCTCTTGACGTCACGGACACGCCGCAGGTTCCCAGTGAGGCTGGCGGCGTGCTGTCCGGTCAGGTGACACAGGAGACTGAACCTACCCGCCACCGTCTGCAGCAGCCCGAGGACCACCGGACCCAGGGCCGAGCTCAGGGACTCTGGAGGAAGACAGGCAAGGAAATATATTTACCCAAAGAGATTGAGAAATATGGTTATAGGCGTTTTTTTCTGTGTTCTTCTAGTACCTAGCTCCAGCAGGGGGCGTATTATCTGCGTCTTGATGTTGCTCAGCTTGCAGTAGAACTTCCTCTCGGCGGCGGCGAGCTCGTGGAGGCTGGCGATGAAGCCCATCACGTTCCTGTCCAGCAGCACCACGCAGCGCTGGCCGCCGGCAAACACGTTGCTCACATAGCCGAGCTGCAAACACGAGAGAGACACTTTCACATCAAGTGATTGTTTGTTTTGCATTTATTATTTTTTAATTCCAGTAACGTTGTGCTTACGTCAATGCAGAAAGGGAGCAGTACAGGCTGCCGGGTGTAGCCCCCCGCCCTCTGCTCCTCCTCCCCCCCCTCCTCCTCCTGTTGACCCTGCTCCTTGGCGTGGCTCTCCTCCACCCCCTCCGTCACCTGCTGCCCACTGTAGTAGATGATTGGCCGGTAGCAGTCTCCGTCTGCGAGCAGCAGGGTGTGTTTCTCTCCGGCGCTCACGTCCCAGACCCGGATCCCCTCTGATAGCTGTGGGGGGGGGGGAGAGATTAAAGTGTATGCATTTATCTGTGTCTTTCTGTGTGTTTGTAATGGAAAGGAAGTTTGTTTCTGACCTTTGCGAGTCGGGGGACGGTGCTGGGTGACTCCGTGTGTCCCAGCTGACCACAAGTGTTACTTCCCCAGGAAAACACCTAAAAGATTTGGCAAGAATGAAGCATACTTTATTTGTATACTGAGGTGAGTCAGTTCAAAGTGTTTAAAGGTTAACTACAAGCTGAAAATAAGAAGGAGGAATAAGTGTGGACTGTAGAAAAAAACCCAGCAAAAACAAATCATCAATTTGAGACCAATGCACAACAAACCATGAAATGATCAAAATGATTTAAAACAGGATTAAAAGATATAACACAAAATATAATAAAAATAATGACAAAAAGAAGTAATTCATTATTTTTTAATTTAAATTGTAAAATATTTTTAAGAAATGCACCATGAATACAAATAATAAAACAATAGAAAATCATATTTATTTTAAATAATTATTATTTAAAGACCTTCAGCAAATCTCAGATATACACATGGATTAAAGAAAATATATTATGATCATTACATTTTCAAAGGAAAAAATGGTTCTTTGCAGACTGGTAAGTAAGACAACAAATCATTGAATTTTTTTTTTTTTTTTTTTTTTTTTTTTTAAATCGAGGTGCCTGGCTCACCTGAGACTGAGCAGTGAGAGCGAGGGAATGGTGAGCGCCGGCCTCCACCCGCACCACCTCCTTACTGTTCAGACTCTTGATGCACAGAGGCTGTAACCTGCACACAGACACAGACACACAGACACTGCTGTCAGAAACGTTCAATAAACACTAAAATACATGTCATTTCGGCTTTATTGACACTGACATAACAACAACAATGAAAACTGTGTAATATATGTTTTCATATATATTTAAGAAGCAATATAAGACAAGCACACATTTCAGGTGTGGCCCATATTCCATTATACTTTTAGAATTTGCAGTTTGGACACTCCTGATATAGGATAGTCCTTTTTTGCAGTGACAAGAGACTTCCTCCAACCTGGCCAGATTGTCTCCATGCCCCAGCTGTCCGTCCTCGCCCTGGCCCCAGCTCCACACCTCCGTCTGCAGGGTGGGGAACACCTCCTGGGCCTCAGGGAACGCCCCCCCCAGAGGGGTGAGGTCCACTGCACGCATCCTGGGGCGTCCGGCTCTCCTCAGCAGCCGCGGGGACACTGTGAGCGCACAATAATTAATTAAATGCAGTTTATTACAAACTTTTCAATTCAATAGTTTTCTTTGTTTTTGATGAACAGGAATGGAATTAAAAATTGTAATTGGAAAGTTGTAAATGTAGTGAAGTAAAAAGTACAATATATGCATCTGAGAAACAGAGAATTTGAAGTATAAAAGGAGCATAAAAGAGAAATACTCTCCGATTGAATGTAAATATGATGATGACAGAAACTTCACTGGATTCATCTCAGGTGCAAAGTTCAGAAGAAATCAATATGTGTTCAAAACCAAAACATAGCTGCACAGAAACATCAGTGACGCTCAGTGAACAAGGTCACACCAAAGGTCAAACAGCAGACACACAGTGAGAGGCAGCCTGCAGAACAAACACTGATGCATGATTGAAACTACAGTGTTTATCCAGGCTGTCATTTAATTCCTGGATGTGAGGATATTCGTTGCCATGTCTCTGCATCTTTTTATGTTTTTATTTTAACTTTAGAGTCTTCAGGATTTGTCAGAAAATGTCCTTGTTAAATTTGATCTTTTATCCTTAAACACTGACTTGAATATATCCCAGCCCAACACAGATGATGAAATCTACAGCAAAGATCTAGTCTTTCTATGAGGAGCAGAGATATGATGACTAAGGGGTCACAGAAAGCTTTTCCCCCAATGCACCTGTTCTCTCTTTCTATCACCCCTAACACTTTCAATCTGCTCAATCCTCCAACCTTTCCTTGATCATTGAAAATCCCTAAATATCAATCTGCATTTCCTCAGTGTTTTAATCCCACAAAGGAGACCATTCAGACCCCCGCTGAGTCTGGACTCACAATGAGACGCAGGACACAAAGATTCAGTCCTGGGTCACAACTTTGCACCTTTGATGGAGCACCGTAAATATAGCATTTTGTCCATTTAGCCCTCAGTTAATCAATATTCACAAATAATCATTAGCCACACGGAAGACAGGGACTATGTACGGGGGTATTATTTTACACTATAACTACAAGTGAAATTGAAATAAGCAGTAAACTAGATTTTTATAAACTGAAATACTACAATTAATTGTATTTATTAAAACAACTAACATAAACAAAACCCAGTTACAAACGAATAAAGCCATTGTTTTTAACCCTTTAAAAGTGTTTCACTATAATATATGACTGCAGGAAAAATATATAAAGAATGAAACTTAACTACAAATCAAATCTGAAACTAAACCAGAACAAAAAGTGAAAGTAAACCTTTCTGAAAAACTGAAACTTAACTAAACATACAAAAAGTGAAACTAAATAAGAACTACATTAACCTGAAACTAAACGACGAACACTATCAATCACATTAAAAATGATCTGAATAATTCTAAAGTCAAATAATAACTTATAGAACATTCAAATCTATAATACCCTTTCTCAGTATAAGGCAGTAGGTGTAGCATTAATTACAATAACTGAAGAAGTTATTAAAACTACAGAGATGGCCTTCAGGAAGAAATGGGTACTTTCTACGACATCTTGTTTTAAAAGTAGATATAAATGACATACAAAGAACACAAAAAGACTCGACTGCGCACAAGGTGTGACACTAGACAAGCCTCACACACACACACACACACACACACACACACACACACACACACACACACACACACACACACACACACACACACACACACACACACACACACACACACACACACACACACACACACACACACACACACACACACACACACACACACACACACACACACACACACACACACACACACACACACACACACACACACACACACACACACACAGTACTTACGCAGCAGGGTATAGGAGTTGGATAAGACGTGAACAGCGTATCTACCCTGAGAGAGGAGTCCCGGCAGAGAGAGGCGGCGCCGCAGACCCTCCGCCTCCTCCTCGCGGATGTCCCCGGTGCTGGAGCTCTTCTTGGCCTGGGTGGAGTCTTCGAGGCGGACGCGCTCCGCGGTGGTGTCGCCCACCAAGACCCCCGTTATCCCTGCGGGGACGCCGGACCTCGCCACTCCTGAGGGGAGGTAGGTCATCATCTTCTTCAGCGACAGGGCCTCGTAGGTGGAGGCGACCCGCTCCCCCACTGCGGAGGCGCAGGAGGCCACCAGGCTGTTGAGGGTGGAGCTTGAGGGGGTCAGAGCCCCTGCTGAGGGCTGGAAGACAGACACAGAGCAAATGGTAATATAAGAGATTCACAATTATTGATTAAGCTAACAATGATGTTCTTTTTTCCCTACAGAGTGCGCTCCTCCAGCTGTTACCTTGGTGACCTGCTCGGCCTCCGTCAGCTTCTTCAGGTATTCTTTGACGGCCTGCTCATCTGGATACGGTGAACTCTTGACCCCCGAAACACCTCCTTCTTTAGATTCAGCCGAGGGGTCAGAGCCTGAGGCTGGGGGTCCTCCATTTGCGAGCGCTGACTCCTGTCCTTTCTCCGAGTCCTGAGCGGGGTCAGAGAAGGGGTCAGGGGTGGAGGTGTGTGAGGGGAGGGGGGGCTCTGTTTTGAGCCCTTGTGTAAGAGCAGGGGCCTCGTCCTCCGTCAGCTCCACCCTGAGGGGGCAGTAGTGCCCGTCAGAGATGATGACGTGGTCCTCCTTGTCCGTCATGGTGTACAGCAGCTGGTGACACTGTCTGCATTTGTCCACAGGGGGCCGGTGGAGGTCCTGGGGGCCCAGGCAGCGCACCAGAGCCAGGCTGTGCGAGGCCCCGCAGGCCACCTGTAACACACACCTCCCCGCAAAGTGCTCCACCTTCTGGGGTTTCCAGACGGGGAAGACGGAGACGTTGAGGCCCAGCTGAGAGCCGCTGCCCCAGGCCCACACCTCCCGCTGCGCCGACAGAGCCAGGGTGTGCCCCCCGCCGCAGGCCAGCTCCAGCACCGGGACCGTTTGCGGGGGGGCGTTGTCGGAGTCCAGCAGAGCGACCGGAGTGGGGTTGGGGACGCTGTTGAGGCCCGAGAGCCCGCACTGTCCCGAGCTGTTGTCCCCCCACATGTGGACCCCCCCGTCCTCCGTCACCGCCCCGCTGTGGAAGCTTCCGGCTGCGACGCTGACCACCCGCTGCCCGCTGAGCGCCCCCTCCAGGGTGGGCTTCGACGGCTCCGACACCTGACTCTGCTTCCATGGTAACTCCCCAAAACTGTACACCTGCCCTCCTGAATTTGGAGCAACAACAGCAACAAAATCAAAAGATGATAATGGAGGTTTTCTTATGAAACGTTTTAGAAAAGCAGATATTTAGAGGAAGCTATTATGTCATGAACATCGTCCTGGATCCTATATTATATTCATTTGTATAACACTGTTGTTAATATTTGTTGATTTGTACAAAATGTAAAGCTCCATTAGACAAATGTGTATACGACTTTGTTTGCAATTTGAAAAAAGGACATTTAAATACCAGACCAAAGAACAAGGATTTATCTTGACTTAATAGAGCCAAAACATTTGAAAAACATGTCAATGCAACTACTCTAAAAAACGTTACCTTCAACCAGCAGAACGCCATGCCGTGTTCCCAGGGCGACCTGAAGGACCGGCCCAGGGAGGAGCAGCCTTTCTGGGGTGACACTGCAGGAGTAGCCCTTCCAGGTATGGAGCAGGCCTCGCTCTCCACCACCGTCATCCTCGGAGCTGAGAGAGACAACAACAACAAACAGAATTAGTCAAATAGAAATAAAATAGAAAGCCTTTATGGTCATTGAATAGGATATTAAAAAAAAGTAGTGTACTCCTGATCAGTGCGGGGCATATAAAAGTCCAGAATACCGCAAAAGCAAAGAAACAAACCCAGACGCAGAGTAAATATAATGTAATATTGCAATATAAGAAGAGTAAACTATTGCACTTCAGATAATGTACTTTTTGCACTAGCATAAACATACTAAATAGGCAATATAACATGTACTTTTACACCATGAAAAGTAGAGTTGGAAATCACTCATTGGAAAATATAGCATGTCAACCAGATTTGTAATGAACCATCAGGTGCCAAAATGATGGAGGATCCTCCCAAACGATTTGCTCATCTTTTGTAAACTGTATGAAAGGTACCCCTAAGGGCTGCTAACAGAAATGTCATGAGAACATAATGTCCTTCATTCAGCAAACCAGACAGCAAATACAGTATTGGGTCAGACACGAGTGAAAGTACATAAAGCAGAACTCAGTCCCCTCTCCTGTGCAGCATCTGAACAACAGATGTGTTGTGGGGGAAAGCAGAAGTGTGCTCCTGTAGGCGGCATCACATGGGGGTCACACCAAGCCTGCCAGCAACAACATGTGTCGAGCAGAATAATCCTTTCTTAGAGACACAGACATACCTCTTCCTCTCCATCAGGGGGTTTATGTCTCCATCTTTGACGCTGGTGCTGTCGAACAAAACACACACCATTAGCGGGAAACCGTCATGCTAGCTTTAACGTTGCTGTCAATGCATTAACAAGTCAGTTTTCCTTTCCTTTTGAAGGAGAAAACAACAACAAAATGAGTCCAAATGAAAGCAGTAATGGTTTCCTTTTCAAGTGTTTTAAAATACTTGTACATGCTTCATTTACTCCCAAATGATAACATCCATTTTTTGCTACCTGTGGCAGGTGTCACCATCTGTCACTAGCTGTTGTTAGCTAGATAACTGTCAATCCTGCTAGCTAAAGATAAGCTAATCAGTTTAGCTAACTAGCCAAACCTCTAGCTAACCACAGGTGTATCTTTCTTACCAGCTGCCTTCACACAGCTCTCCTTTATGTGCTCGGTCGGACAGGAGAGAAAAACACACGTCTGTTATTAAGTTGTTTAGCAGCTAACCGCCGCTGCTTGTTGTTCATCTCTGTAATGTTGACACTGCCAAAGATCGTCTGTTAACAGAAAATCACGCTCACAATGGTCGTTCTTTCGGTTTCAAGCTATTACAGCCGTACACCAAAACAGCAGCAGAGTGAGACCTCTTTATATTTATCTACTCTTGGATTTTTTTTCTTCTATGGCCTTAAAGCCGCTAGCTGGAGTTACTCACTGACCCCACCTGGTGGCGGAAACCGTGCAGCACAATCACAAACTTTTATACACGGAACAAATCTAACAATATGAAAGTGAATCCTAAAATGTAAGATCCTAAAGTGAGTTTTCTGTATTTTATGAGTTTATTTCCTTTTTAAAATCACTTATATTAATCGAAAATAACAATAAAAAATGGTTTTGTATATTAGAAATCGATTTAATTGTAGGCTATGTATTTAATGTATGTAATTTTTATATTTTTCAGTGTTAGATTAGTTAATTGAATTTTGTTGTATGCACCTGATCGTATTAGTCCATTATGAATATTTTTCAAAGCCACCACAGTGAAGTAGCCCAGCCCCTTAGAAACAGTAACCGTGATTTGATCTCACGCTGATGACTGTTATAATTATAATGTATACTGGGAGGGTGTCTAATCCAGCTGTATGAAAACGAACCGGGACTGCATGAGATGAACAATGGTAGAGCAAACGCGGAATACCTTAAGGACAAACTGAGCTTTGATTTGAAATAATTGGAGTTTATTTATATTGATTCAAATGGAGCTGAAAATACATTTCCCCCGGACTTTAGCGCTATTCCTCCTCTGGATCTGCATCATCTCCGGTGAGTGGGATGCACAAATGTCCACAGATTAAATTATAACATTTGAATTGAGATGCATCAGCATTGGTTTTCTTATTTAAAAAAACTGTTTTAATGTTAATGTGGCAGGGTGGTGTGAGTGTTAATATTATACTAAATAGGATCTTTTAACACAACACAAGAAATCAGGACACAGGTTCTTTAAGGGCAGAGAAGTGTTTCGAAATAAAGTCATTTATATTTTAATGCAATCAAAAAGAAAATGAAACTCAGTCGTTGGTTAGAAAAACAATAATTATTCCAGTTTAAAATTATCTTTATTTTAGTAAGTGTTAAAAATGTGTACCTAAAATGTAACACTAAAAGTTTATATAAGCACATTTAAAGTAGAGCTGCATTCAGGAGCACTACTCACTACATTAATATCAAGACTATAGCCTCCTGTGGTATGAAAAAACCTTTATGAAATGTACTCAGTCAGGGATATATATATTTAACATTTCCAAGTACTTTTAACAATCTAATCGTCATACTCTAAAAAGGGTGTATCAAGTCAAATATGTCAAATGTTCACTGTCATGTATTCTTTGAGTGATTTTTATAGACTTCCCAAACAATATGTTTTTATAATTCTTCATGGTATTTGTACATTCTACGGTATAATAGGGGCACTCTTGCAGTTTTAAAACCCTCAAGGTAATAAAAAACATACAATTTTAATATTGTTGTAGTATCCATCATTTTATTACAGCACTATACATGAATGGAAACAAAACAAAAGACACAGATTCAAACAAACAAAGACAAAACTATTTAAATAAATAAACCAGATGTTCTGCAGAAACTTGAAGCATGCATTCAGAACACAAAAATAATATTGTTTATAGTACATAATATCAAAGACGCCTCTACATTCAGACCTATCATCAAGACAGGTGAAGGAGCGATTTGATACAGCTGGAGAATTTAATAAGTTAATATAGATATAACAGGTATAACAAATAAAATATGGAGTTTGTGTGCAGTGATACATTTTGGACAAAATCCTGCATCGTAATCCAACATGTTTCTCTTCCACCTGAAACATAATTTTCTCGGGTATAAATAGGCAATATATTCACAAAAACTGGCATTACACACATTTGCACAGTTTGTGTTTTTTGCACAAGCTAATCCTAAATAGCTTTCCGGCAATGCCAGATCTCGCCTGCTAGATAGGAGACAGAGAGATTGCTGAAAAGAGTTTTTTTTTAATTCATTTAACCTGCATGACAAATCAAATTAACACGGACACAAAAGGTTGAACACTTGGACTCAGAGAGGTTTATTTCAAGCATGAAATTATGAATCTGATGAGTGATGGCTGCTGGGAAACTTGGCTCCGTGTTGATTTTTAACTTCAATTATCTCTTAGTGACTTTGCTGTGTGGCATAAAATGAAATCGAAGTGCAGTGGATCGCAGTTTGACCCTGGGACATTTTATGAACAGTAAAGATACGGTAATTGCTTTCCCCCCGGAGAATAGACACTGATACTCATTTGTTCAACTGTAATGCCTTTGGTTGAGCAGAATGAAGGGGGATAAAGGAAAGAGCTCTTTAAACCTTGGGGGGACAGGAAGGTGACGAGATAAATCAGAAACACCAGTTAAAACTAACACAATTAGCATGAAGGAGAATAGAAATGCAAGTTGGAGTTAAAATACTCTGTCAAATGTATACAATAAAAATAGTAAAAATACATTAGATACTCAAATTCGTGTTTTACTGTACAGAGACAGAGATCACAAATGGCAATAATATCGTTTATCGCAATTATATCTGGGACAATATATCGTCCAACCAGGCTTGTGGAGTAACGGATTACATGTAAAGGGATTATGTAATCAACATACAAAAAAAAGTAACTGTATTCCTTACAGTACATACAAAAAGAAAATGTAATCAGATTACTGTTACTATTTAGAAAAACGTTTCAAAATGAAACTGGAAAACTAAGACAGCTCTTGAGATGACAAAATAAAACACAGACAGATCGTGACAGTAGGTGGACACCTGATTAATTAAAACAAAAATAATGTTTGGTTTTTAAACATATATTAAACTAAAACACTTTTTGTAAGCTCTACCATTCTGTAGGTCTATAGTATACACTGAACAACTAAAAAAGTGACTTTAATTAAATGTATTATGTCAACAGATTTCACATAACTGTATCAGGTTAGATGAAAGCAATAATATTAAGTTGAACCAATTTGAACGTAATATTATTGCTTTCAACTAACCTAATAGTTATGTGAAACCCGTCGACATTTGGTCCTCTTAAATATCTTGGTTTCTTCTTTTCTAAGGTCACATTGTTCTGTTGTCTGACATAATACACTGAAGTAAAAACAACTTGTTGATATATTATAGTTTTTTTATTTATTTGCATTGTGTCGGATGTCGAGGTTATCCAAAAGTAACAGAAAGTAATCAGGTTACATTACTTTTAGATTGTGATACTTAGCTAAGGTTAATGATTACATTGTTGTACAGGTAACTAGTAATTGTAACAGATTACATTCTCTCCTCAGGTCTGGCTGAAGACTGGACTCGTCTCCACACAGAGGACGCTCTCTTCAGGAGTCTGTTCGGACGATACAGCAAGTGGACGCGTCCGGCACGAAACATCTCAGACGTGGTCATCGTGAAGTTCGGCCTCTCCATCGCACAGCTGATCGACGTGGTGGGAACACATATCTGTAGATTACAAACTGATTTGATTATAAAGAATGAATCCTCACCAATTCCACATTTTGTGTCACTGTTTGGCTCCAAAACAGGATGAGAAAAATCAGATGATGACAACCAACGTGTGGCTGAAACAGGTATGAAAGAAGGGATCAGATATTTTACTATTATATTTTTAAATGTATTTTTTTACTGCCAAGTTTCTTAATCCATCCTAGTCCATTGAACCTGCAAAGTAACTAATGTTGTCAAATAACTGTAGTACAAACTATGATATTTGCTTAGTGTACAATAAGTCAAGAAAATACTTCAAAATGTACTTTCCATCACTGAGTTGAAGCTATAAGCACCTGACCAACGATCAGACAAATGTGAGTTATCGATAGCTGATTAACGAGTCAATCTTTTGTACTGATATTCATTACTTTAGTATGAAATCTATACCACTAAAAGTGTTTTTCTTTGTCGTAAAATGTATGTATTTGTTGGCAGGAATGGACTGACTATAAGTTGCAGTGGAATCCGTCTGACTTCGACAACGTGACGTCCATCAGAGTCCCGTCTGAGCTCATCTGGGTGCCAGATATTGTGCTGTACAACAAGTAAAAAAAATGCACACATTCAACACCACAAATCCTCCCTATTTATGAACTCAGATCATACAAAATAAGACAAAAGAATAAAAAACAAGTAAACCATTAATACACAAAAACTAAATATACTGGACAGACTGAACTCAGAAAATCGTACAGTAGTTAAAAGACAATGACACACATTTAAAATAAAATGTGGCAAACACTTAGACAGTTACATTTGGGTGAGGTAGTTTTGTGTAAAAAGTTACTAAACTTTAAATGGACACTAAAGTACGAAGAAGTCTTGTTTCTAAGTATTTTTCGACCCCTAAAAAGCTGTTAATTATCATTTTTCGGATATAAACTTATCACATAAATCCATCTCAGGACTGTTAAACAGGCTCCACTTTGACTGTCTGTAGGTGGAGATGAAATTATCTGTAGTGATCAATTACCCGCTTGATCCATAACAACGTCCTCATTCGCTGAAGAGCGTATGAGGAGGGGAGGTCACCTATGTGCAGCATTTCTGCATTTCAATTCGGAATACATGCAAATGATCCTGTTGAATAAATGACCCCGATTCTACTGCCTCTGCGCAGCGATGTTGCATCACACAGTTTCAGTCTGGTTTCCTTTCCCCAGAGGAAGTATTAATCCTTACATTTGTCTGGATGGAGTGGAAACTTTCTCCTCCTTCAGAGTTTGTGTAAATGAGCTTGCATCATGAATACAGGGCATTAGCATTCAGTGATCAATTATTAAAAGGGGAATAGCTTGAGGTTTATAAATTCACCTTTAGAGTTTGAAACTAGAACAAAAAACATCTGGAAAACCTCCTTTTTAGTCCGATAATGCCTCAATATTTGTGTCAGATTTCTGTATTTTGTTTCTTTTTCCAGTGCAGATGGAGAGTTTGCAGTCACCCACATG